TCCTTGTCGTTGCTGTTGTTGTTGTTGCTGCTGTTGTTGTCGCGCAGGCCATCACCTGCACCGTGTCGTTGACTTCCGGCAGCCTCAGGAAGCCTGGGTTCGGACACTGGATCCACCCCCCAAAAAAACAGGAAATTTGCAAGCGCTGGTGGCATTGGTACACTGCACCAGTACGTAGTTTGACAAATGGTTCGGATGCTTTTGAAAGCAATGCCCCGGCAGTGGTGGACTAAAACAGCAACGCGCAAACACTTCCTTCGAGGGATCACAAAGATAGCTCCACCCTCGGCAGAACATACAACTTGTCCACTTTCCCGCTCGGACAAAAACCCTCATGAAAACCCGCCCAGGGGCAGCTCAGGCAAAGTGTGCATAGGCCATCACCCGCACCTTGTCGTTGACTTCCGGGCTCGTGTGACAGCAACCCCCCATCATCAAACAAACGTCACCAGGGTTGAGGCTCAAATCCTCGAGTGATTTTTTTCGGACGGATGTGAGCAGCACAAATGTCTGGAAGTTCACGCTTGCATTCACCTTCCGCCAGACAATACTTACAAAATACCATTAACAACTTTCTGCACGTGTTCGGGCAGTGCAATGACAAGCTATTTGTGCTTGGGTTGGCTTACAAAAACCCCAGAAAACAGCCGTCCTCCACCACCAATTGGCTCAACAGCTGCTTCGGCACTTCCCAGAATCGGCCTTTACATTCGTCTTTCTCGATTTCCTTGTGAAACCTCGGTGCACACCGTGTATGTTATGCCGTTTCGTCTTGCGCGATGCCAACTGCCACAAAACACGGGAGATTTCAAAGGCTGCTCCGACAAAACCGGAAATAAGTATTCCCCGGAAATGTTCAGGAACCCTGCAGTGTGGGTGAAGCACCCCAAAGCGAATGGCATCTTGGAACAAAAAGGCAACCGTCGCGGGTCTCCAATATGATGGCGAAACGAAACCCATGGATGAAAAGCAGGCTCGTCAACACCAAGCAAACTTCATCAGTGCAAAATGCCGTGCCCTGACTAGGGGCTTGTTGTGGGACGCTCTCGCCAGCCGGACCGTGGCCGGCGTCAGTGCCATGAGCACCTGCAAAGTCCCAACTCGGCCGTGGTCAACGTGCCAAACCCATTGGCCACACCCCTTTGGCTTCACGGATACGGCATCCTGGGCACGGCGGCGGAACCCTACATTACCCCAATCGACCTAATGACATATTGCCGGCAACCTTTTGAGGCTGAGCATCTGCCATATTGGTAAGCCATGCGGGGTTCTGATTTTGGATGCGGGCGATCGTATCTCTCATCATCTCCTCACGGGCAGATGATACCAAAACAAGCTGCGAAGCAAGCAATCCTTGACCACACTACTTGCCAAAACACGTAACGCAATACCGAGTCTATATATATATATATACTTGCAACCCGCAAATCTGCACGCGATTGCAGCCAGACACCCCAAACAGTATTGGGAGGGACCGACGTGAGACAACAGCAGAAACAGCGGCGGTGCTTGACTGGACCTCTGGACAGCACGCGTTGCATTCTCTGTCTCCGGAACTCTTGAAAGCAGTAGCACCGGTTCTGTGTAGCAGGGAGAACTTGTGCAAGAATTGTGTCTCAGGATATCTGCACAGTATCGATACTCTTGTATTACATCTCTGTCTCCGGATATCCTGAAAGCACGAAGGTCTGTGGACCATGGATCTCGTGACGACTTGGGCAAGGTCTGTGTCTCAGGAAAATCATTTCTGCTGCACTTGTACGAAATCTCTGTCTCCGGATCTCTTGAAAGTACTCGTGCTAGGAGACCTTGGAAAGACTTGCGCAAGACCGATGTCTCAGGACATTGGCTAGCGTTCTGGTTTACAAATAGTTGTGGAGACATGTATTTTGATATATACCTGCAAAATCGTGAAAATGAGAGTTGCGATAGATCTTTCGCCCAAAAAAGTTGCTTTCGCAAATCCCTTCGCGAATCTTTCGCGGACCCTGATCTCAACACCTGAATGGCTGTCCTTTACTAAATCCGTTTCACGGACCTTTTCGATCAACCCTCAAATCTCTCAAGATCTTGCGCAGAGAGCAAGATGGCACGGTAAGTATACCGGTCAAATCCAAACCCGACAAAGCACCTTCCCTTACTCTTACCGGTAAAAATGAAAACTCCTCTGTGGACGCACTGCTCAGTAATAAAACGCCCGGCGGATGACGCCTGGAGTGCGAAAACTTCAGGCTTGTGCTTGAAGACGGCCGACTTGAACAAGAGCCCAATGCCAGAGCCCTTCCTCAAGAAACATGAAATCCATTTCGTTGAATCCCATTGTCTGATCTCAAGCTTTGGTGGCCCATGGCCTTGCCTTTTCAGCGCAAAAAGTTTAACAACGCAAATTCCTTCACATATCATCCAACCAAGCCTTTTGAAATTAGTTTTAAAAATCCTCCAAGCATCATCCAACCAAGCTGGTGCTTGGCACCCCACCTCGGCCCGCCAAAGTCGGGCGGCGTCTTCATCCACTGCTGACAGGGAACATCGGACAAGGACTGAAGAACGTCGTTGTTTTCCTTCATGTCGCCTGCCGACGGCACCCACCGCCGCACGTGTGCCACAATGCAGTCCATGACTGCGGTGCGACGGTCTTCGGGCAAATGGTCTCGGATTACCACGAAGCTGTCCTTCTCAAGTGCGGAGCGCCACATTGCAGCCATAGAGCACAGACCTCGCTCAGGCTGCATCACTTCCACTCTGTTTGGCAGTGAGGGAATCTGCTTCTGCTTCAGGCTCACTTTCTTCGCTTTCTTGGGCTTTGCTACATCATGTTGCTTTGCAATCATCTTGGGCTTTGCCACATCGTGTTGCTTCGCAATCGTCTTGGGCAAGCCGCCCGCTGCTGGAACCAGAGTGCTTGCATCCCAATTCTTCGTGACATTCTCCCACACTCGAGAAAGAAGAGTGTAGACGGCTTTCTTGGTCTTCTCCTCCTGACGATCGATCGGGTTGGCAACTGGATCAGCAGCCGTAACCGGTGGAGTTTCATCAGAATGTCGAAACGTGATGGGGTCGAAGCCCCCAGAACCCCTCGCGCAAAAATACTTGAGGCCAGGGAAAGCTAACCATGAGTCCTGGAGGTAAAATGTTTGCGGGTTTTCTGCAAACTATTGGCACTGGGCATGGACCGCGATGGGGGTACGATCAGGATCACGTTCATGATGATGATTTTGATGATGATGATGAGGATGAGGATGAGCTCCGTTTGCAAGCTTCTGCTTGGGAACCGCATCACACTCTCCGAAGATGCAGGGAAGAAGATGATGCTGATGATGATGATGGTGGTGATGATGACGATGATGATGATGATGTTGATGATGATGATGATGCGATAGAATTGAGAGGAGGAGGATGAGGAAGACATCGAGGAAGACACCGGGGTTGGCGCGGTTCGCGGGGTTCTCGGCACGGGGTTGGCAAGGTTGGCGGGGTTCACGGGGTTGGCGGGGTTCTCGGGGTTCTCAGGGTTGGCGTGGTTCGCTAGGTTCGATGGTTAGTTGTTGTCTATCCTACCATTCTGCTGTTTGAAGCTTTTGTTGCATAGTTCCTAACAGTCCATCTCTCTCTCGGGGGAGCCGGGCCCACCCTCATTCGTGCGAAACATCAAGCTTTAGGGCATGGAGCCTATCCCAACATATTGCTAAAACAAAGAAGAACTCCAGCTAGCACAGCTAGCTTTCGTGTTAAAGCAGCAAAGAGCTCCTTGAAGGTCATCTTGATTTGCACACCACTTGTTGCAACACCTTGGAAGCAGGGTGGAACCTTTTCAGAGTGTCTTGGGTCCTCTTGGCCCCCCTTGGGTTCTGTATCTCTGCTAGTGATCTTATTTGGGCCAGATTGTGGCCAGAGCAGCCAACAAAGTGCAGCAAAGGAACTGTCAGCACGACCGCTGTCTCTCAAAGCAGCTACTGCAGACGTTCGTTTGCCGCAATCCATGTCCAAGCACCATTGCTTGGAAGAGCGGCCGTCTTTGAACGGCATTTTGCGGTCCGAAAAGCATGAAAAAACCTGATCATTTGGCGCTTCTTCCCGTAGCTTGCTACTAGCATGTTCGAAACCAAAACCTGAGGACCGTGTGAATCTGAGGATTCATCACTTCAAGTTGTGGCTCGTACTTGTTTTTTGCAGCTGGGACGAAGTCAAACGGAGTTCAGTTCACCACTACACATGGACGCCCAGCTTTTGGCTTCGGGCTTCGGCCGGGCGTGATCCAAGTCCAACGATATCCAACGATCACTCCAACGATATCCGACGGTGACTCAACCTGAAGAGTCGAAACTGTTGCAACCTCATGAGCATTGTGACAAAACAAGTACATCCTCATTGGTCTGTTTTTAAAGCTTGGGTTTAGATGTCACGGTTTAACATGTTTCAACCAACTCTTGGCTACAACAGGTGGCAAACAACTTGGTGATATCAAACCTTCTGCAAACTGTGCGGTTTTCTGGTAAAATGTGGTTATTTCTGGGATATTTGGGCGGTCCACGTCACCCCTTTTGCTGTTCACCCCCTCAACTTTTCAGTGAATTCTGTTGTTTGGAGGATTGTTGTCTAGACAAACTTGGATGAATTTGGGGTAGGTGGAACGACTGTTGCTTTGGTTCCGTCCAAAAGCAACATTGCTGACCTAGACCTAGTTGCGGTCGCAAAAACAAAGGAATTCTTTTTGAACACTGGTGGGAATCCGTTGACGCTCACGACCTAGGTCGAGCCCACCGCAGACCCATCCCGTGTGGATCCTGTCGGACAATCCCGCAGCGATCCCATGGAGAGACCCGAAATGGTCTTGGATCCCCCGATGGACCAGGTTGAAATTCATTCTGAGCCAAAGACCGCCAAGACCCTGATTTTGAACGATTCGAAGCAATGGACTACTGGCTCAGTCTTGGCTCCCACGAGAGCCACTATTGTTTTGTCCTCCTCAGTGAAAATCTCATGGCTGAAAACCAAGCAGCACCATGGCAGTGGCCATCTTCACATCTTGGGCGAGAACCACCTGCCCAACCACTGCGCGGTTCAGTCAGTGGTTGGAGTGGTTTTACGATTTATAGGTTAATAAGATCCCAATATGACAAGCTGCAAAGCAAATGGCAAAAGAAAACTTTCAGACGATTGACGCAATCAAGTGGCAAACACAACAGGTGGGTGTGCAATCCATTGTCACCGGCACAGCAATAGGAGGTGCATTGATCTTGTATGCGTGAAACCCTAAGTAAGCGTAAAACCTGAAGCCAAACAGAAAATAAAGCTTTTGCATCCCTGCCTGCGGGCGGTCGAAAGGAGGAATAGCTTGTTGACGCAGCGAAATCACTGATTAGACCCATCTCTTGGATACCCTCCCTGCCTGTGCCCCTGGCCCACACTCGAAGGGCTCCGCCAATGCCGTCGGGGCCGCTGTAGCCGTGGCCGCGGCGGTCGCGCCAGGCCATGTGGCCTGCAAAGACGTCCGGCAAAGGTGAGGATCGAAGACTCGAATCGTTTGATTGGGAGGTCAATATAGACCTACCTACAGGGATTTTTGGAGCTTCAGCGCTGCAAACCCGGTGGGGAGTTTGGGCTTGTTAAGTGGAGCGAGTATAGGAGGTCTCTTTAGAGAATGTTCCAAATTGAGGCCAATCTGCAAGGATCAAACACAAGAATAGAGAGGTTGTCCCGCAGGATAAGGTTGAAGGGTGGCCGAAGTACCAGCGGGACAACGCGTCACATTTCGGGTCATGGTTGGGCTGGCTGTCTTTCTACATCTGCGATTTGTGATTCTATGGGGATTCAGCTAGAACAATGCATGGTCTTGACAAAAAAGAACATGTTCAAGGCAATCACCGCACTATACACACTCGCGTGCGGGCTTACAAGCCAAGTGGTGCAAAATGTCTTCGATCAAGAGCAATTGAAGATACATGTTGTCAAAGCCAAGTTTAACAGTTCATCAGCTGAAAACCCGAAATAATCAGATATATCCTTTGATTCACCCTTTTCAGATGGCGTTTTCCTGCATCATCCCAGGTGCCTGCAAAGCATCTGCCAGCTTCTGCAAGCTCTCAGCATCTTGTGCCAGTAAAGCGGGACCCTCCTGGAGCTGCTTAAAGGGCCAAACCCAAAGCTCCCAAGTGTCCTGTTGTTTGTTCTCGGTATGGGCATGAAAAGAAGGAAAACAAACATGTCATGCGATGCCTGTGGACACGATTGCCGTAGCCTCAGTTTGAGCCACTTCAAATGTAGGACAACTTCTCAAAGGGCGTTGTAGCATACATCTACGGTTGCAGCGTAAGGTGTTGACTTACAAAAATATGGTTCAGTTTCAGTGTGCCAAATAGCAACAGCAGCAGCAGCAGCAACAACAACAACAAGAACAACAACAACAACAACTACTACTACTACTACTACTACTACTTCTACAGCCACAACAACAACAACAATAACAACAACAGCAACAACCGCAACGGCAAAGACAACGACAACGACAACGACAACAAGGACAGCAAGAATGTTAGATTCATAGGTAGTTGATGGTAGTTGCACATATATCTGCAACTGTCAAATAGCCATCAACCATCACAACCGCCACAACCACTGGCATCGACAAGTCACTCGCTGGCCGCTCGCCTCCCCAAGAATCCTCTCCATTCACCACCTCCATGCCCCTCCACACCGAGGCCACACAGCCCATCCAGACCCACGTCCTGCACCTCCACAGTCCAGCCACCCGTCTGCGCCAAGCGCTTCGCCCAGGCACTGCCATCTGCACCTCGCCAGGACCAGGTCAAGGCCACGGCGGCCAACACCTGCTGAACGAAGGCACCGCGCGGGGGCGACCGAACGAAGGGCCGATGGGGCCGATGAGGCGAGGCTGAGACCAAGGATATATTTTAACATGGTAAAATGGCAACTCACAATGAAGTATATAAACATGACTACTTGATGAAGTAAGCACACAGCCCTCACTTTCTTCGAGCACGTTGGTCATCCTCTTTTTGGACAGCGCCTCGGCAACCTGAGCATCACCGCCCTGGCGCAGCTGTCGCAACAAGGCACCCAGCTGTCGCGCGGCGAAGAAGCCTAAGACCTGGGTGCAGGTGGAGAGGAGAACGGTGAAAGTGACCTTGGTGACATCACATGGCAGGTGGAAAATGGTTGGATTTTGGTGGTGACCAATTTTTGGTTGGGAAATTTGAGATGGTTGGACATGGGGCAATGGTTGTACGATATATAATTGAACAACAAACTTTGCCCAACACCGCCCTTGCTTTCTGACGGTTGTGGTTTATCAGGATTTATCTATGCGTGATCTCGGTGTAGCTCTTGACCACTTTGAAATCGTTCCAAAACGCACCTCGCACCGGTGTCCTCCAAACGCACCGGCGCGTTCAGCCGCTGAACAAAACAGGGCTTTAGCCCAGGCACCGGGTGGCTCCGGCGTAGCTCCGTGAGCTTCCTGTGCCAGTTGGCCTCAAAGGAGAAGAAGCCCATGGGGGCTCATGAGGAAACCGGAGGAAAACAAAAGAAACAAACGTTCACTGCAATGGGAAAAGGATGTTGTTCATAGACTTTTCGTGTCCTGGTGATGCTGAACATGCAGATTTGTGGTGTACACACTGAAAACACCAGTGGTTGGAGTGTGGTTTGAGATGCTTGTGTTCAATGATGTTCAATGATTGGTCTACTTGGTCACCCAGCAACGATGAACAACAACAACAACAACAACAAGAACTTGTTCACCGAAGATTCCCCAGCATCGCAATGTGTGTTGACTAGTTGTTCCCTCAGCAAATGCCAGCCACCTGGAGATGGCAAGTGCCACCATGAAGAAACTCCTTAATATCTCAAGTCCAGCCTCTCTTCCCAGCTAGTGGGCATTCAAAATGTCGCTGTTTGATGCTGTTCGACTCATTTGGGGCATGACAGTCTGTGCTATCGGCTGTGCGAAATGTGGCTGGGAGATGCTGGGAGAACAGTTCTCAACCAGTTCTCCAAGACCCTGAGTAAACAACGCTGAACTCACCACATATGGCGCCATGGGTCAGCCGGTTGACCCGGCTGGGTCGGACATCCTTTAGAGAGGAATTCGGAATCTGCTCACTGTTCAGCGGTCAACCAGGGTTTTGACGTACCGTACAGCCATAGAACTGTGGTCCTCAGTCCGACACAGTCTCTCGCGGCTCGCGGGTCCTCCTTTGAACAGCGAACGGCGGTGTTTGTCACCCACGTCTCGCTGACGCAGCGCGTGTCTTCGCGTCGAGCCTGGCGATCTCGAAGTTCGTTCAACTTGTGCTTCATCTGCTGCAGGGCCATGGATAAGAGCCACTCCAAGTGGAATTCCTGCCGCTTAAGGCATTCTGGGAAAGATGGGGTTGCGAACCAGAACAAAACAAACAAAGACATGACATGTTGCTCCACAGCTATGCTGCAACCAGTCAACCTACCGGTCCACGACCGCCTGGAACTCGGGATGCCCGGTGACCCGCAGATCCTCCACGACCTGAGACCGGACGGCGTCGATTCGGTCGGGTTCGGTGCAGGGCAGAAGGAAGAGGTAGGAGAAATTGGGTCCTCAGAGGTAGGTGTGAATGTCTATGAATTCTGGAATCCCCTTAATCCATCAGCACCTGGATTGTGGCAGGAAGTAGATGCAAGAAGTGACAATATGAGTGGTTTTGGACGAACGGAAGGATACTTTCTTCTTTCCACACAAGTCACACGAGCCACTGGGTGTTTCGCCACTCATGAAGCCACTCACTTTGTTTTTGACTCAACTTCTGGATGCTTCGGATCTTCCATCCAACTCATCCGACAGCCGAGCGCCGTTGGACTCGGCGCGCCGAACCAGCCGAGCCGAGCGAAGGCACCGTCACGGCCAAGCGTACCAGGCCAATCTGTTCGTTGAAGGTGCCCACCTGGAAGCATGAGTCGGAGTCTTAACTTGAACTATAGGAAAAGATACGAAGTTTCCTGGGTGCAACAGGTCCTCTAGGTGAGCCACACAAGAACATGATGGATGATTGATGCCCCAGCTTTTGGGTCTATAGACAGCAATTTCTATCCCAACCACTTTCCGCAGGACGATGAACTACAAACAGAACGAGTCTGGGATGGCCCGTAGAAGCTCCGCTTCTTCGCTCTCCAACCGGAGGGTGCTGCTACCTCTGGACCAGACGTGCGACCTATGCATCCGTCAATGCATTCGGGGGTGTGTCCACTGGTCTATTTCTCAAAGCTTCCAGGACATCGGGACGCCTGGAAGGTCTTCTGATTTTAGGACACATATTTTTGCACCTATTTGCACCATCTCCACCAGTCTCCACCAGTCTCCATGGGTTCGGGTTCGGAACACCCATCCAGGAACTCGTTGCCGTCCCAAGAACCCGATCCTTCCGGCTCCACACGTGCGATCCCGAGGTTGAAGGGATACAAAGCCTTCGGACATTGGAGTGATCAAGAGTAAGTCTTTTCCCGTTTTCCTCCCAGTCAGTTCCTCTTTCAAGGAGTCAAAGAAAACACACAAATATGAATTCAACAAAAGAACGCCGCATCCTCAAAATCTCTATGAGGGCGTTCAGGGTCATGCCTGGTCAGCCTTGCAACATCCCTGGTTTGGCTTGCAGTTGTCACAACCCCACGCCTGCTGGAACGCCGCATCCGACGTGCTCGCAGCCAACGTCACCGCAGCCTCCGCAGCGGGACATTGGAAAAGGCTTGGGTGATCCGATGACGGAGATGTTCAAGCATGACACTCACTCCCTGATGACCATATATGGACGTGGATGGCATGGCCCCGTCAGCATAAACCTGATGACCATAGGTTCCGAACACCCGACAGGTGGTGTTCCTTTTCCAGAAGTAGTTCAAGGAGCGTATCTTGCGCTCTAAATATACGTGTTCAACGATGACATACAATGACCGGGTTCTCAGCCATTCCATGCGAACCACCATGCAAACCCTAGGTGGGGGTGCAAGCCATGCGTCCTGGTAGAAGCACCATGCATCCAGTGTCTTCTCCCCCAATTCCACCATTCCAACTGGCCCTCCATGAGCTCCCCGGCTGGTGAAGACCCGGAAATCCACCCGGCGCCTGGAAATCCAAGATCTCGACCAGCCGCTGCGGCTGCGACTTCTGCGACGTGCCTAGGCCGACCGCACCGACGCGCTCACCGCGGTGATCGGAAGAGCGGACCGGGTCGTCCTGGTGGAAAAGGACCTTTTGTCATGTCTGGGAACAAAAAGACCTCGGTACTGTGTGTGATCCTGGGAGTTGCTTGCATGGTGTCGACAGTGGTGATCATGGTCAAGTTGCTGCATAGTCGCTGTTGGGGGAATAAGGGCCTCCATCAATTTGTGCTTGAGACTTGTCCCACCACAATAATTACGAGTAGTAGTTCCCAATCCCACGATGACGGCACCTAGTTTTGAAATCAAATACTGTAACCCAGCTGACAGGTCCCAGTAGCAATCATTTGCCAAAAGGTCATGCATCTACCAAGTAGATGTTATACTATTACAGTATACTCAGTATACACAACGGGCCACAAACACTTCCCCAAAACACCCCCACTGTTGTCCAAGCCTCCATCCTCAACCTCCTATGCCGTTCCCGTTCCTCCTACGCCGCGCACCTGACCTGAACACACGACGCTAAGAGTCGTCACACCGTGTACACGACGCCAAGCGCCTGGATCGTTAAGGAGCAAGTAGAGCAAGCGCGCTTCGGCAGGGATCTCTGCCAGGGCCTCCTCCTCTTGGAGCGTTCAACGCTTCATGGGCGCTCACTTGGCTGAACGCTTCGTGGGTCAGGATGTGTCAATCAGGTGATTGGCATCGGCATCTAACCCACCAAATAGGCATCGGTCGTGAAGGATTGGCCACCCATCCAAGAAAACCTGCCACGTGCCACACGCACCCGTCGTGCCACGTGCCACGTGCCGAGACCGAGACCCCAGGGACGTCTTTTCTCCATCCACGTCCGTCTCCTCCATTTCGCCCTCCTGGTCCGGCACGTGCTGTGCAATCTCCCTGGGCACTCTGGGCTGGGTCCGAGGTCTGCCGAAAGCGAAGGGTAGAAACAGCTCTGGTCTTGGGTGGTTTTAGCCATGCTTTCACCAACAAAAGGGTTGTTCTAAGATGTTCTAAGTAGGCCCCATGGACAGTCCTTCCCAAATACATCTGGGCCAAATTTCTGGATAGAGGATCCTAGAGAGGTGCCTGGATGTTTCTTTTGGCAATACCGATAATAATCCGTGTTCATTTGAGACGTGAGCCGACCCCATATTTATCTCCTTCATGTTGAAACCACGGTTTCCATCAGCTTCCAACTTAAGCCTCCAAGATCCTCTCTCCAGCTGAAGCCTCCACATCCTCTCACACCCTGCTTCGAACAGCGCGCGCGCTCCGTCCGCTTGCTACCCTCGCCGTCGCCTGGGATAGGACATCACCCACCGCGCATGGCTCGTTGGCTTCAACATTTGGAGCATCCGCGCCAGCGCCGCGTCCTCTCGAGTGGCCACGTCTACGGGCGTAAAGGAAGGGGAAGTGGCGAGAATAAAAACAACAAGGGGAATGAAAAAGCAGGTTGTGTGGCAAAAAGTAATGGACCCTTCCAAGAAGCATGTGCATTTTGTCTGGGCTCTAGAAGAGGTTTTTTCTGTTTCCTTGCACGAAAGAGAGGTGGTTCTGCGTGTCAACCTATCAATTAACTAATTAGATAATTAAGGCCCCATTGGTCATACATGGTCATACTATGCCAAGATAACCTTCTTTGTAGCCTGTCAAATCAGGGCAAATCAACCACTCAAGAAGAATCATGCACCCAAAAATGCCACAATCTCCCTGGCGGACCCACCCAGCGCTTGCCGTTCGCCGCGCCTTTCGCCGAAGCCTTCGCATTAGAAAGAGTTCAACGAGGAATGCCACCCAAGAGAACAGACGAAAGGGTCCTTGCCACCCAAGAGCTCCGACAAAGGTGCGTACATCGAGTTGGCAAAGTTCAAGGCATGCACCAAGCCTGAGAAACGAGAGACGGAGACCGACGTGTTCTCCGTGCCCGCTCCAAGCTGAAGGGCCAGGGACTGTTTTGGGGGGCGAAGCGGCGACTGCCCTCGGTGCAACCATGATCTCGTTTACCGTGGCGTGTCTGGAGTGTCTTCTTCCAGTCACGACCTGCTGTTCTCTGTGAGGCGCTGATCGAAGTGGTCGGTTCTTGCTAAGTCCACCCAATGAGATGGTCACAGTGGTAGTGTATTGAAAGGACGGGGACGGTGGCGATGTCGGGCCAGTCGCGGCACAGACTTGTGGCACTGGGACACGACAAACACAATGTGATCCTTGTCAGCCCCCCTGGCTGGCCTGCGATTTCCGAGGAATTCTCCAAGGAAGAGAGCGAGAGCAGCAAGGCATCCTCAGCAAGTGCACGGTGGGATGGGCTGGGATTTACCACTCGGTGGGTGTTCATGTTTGCCAAGGAGATAGAAAGTCACGACCCCCTTGGTTAACAAGCAAAAACAAGCACCTTCATCAAAACCTTCATCAGCTGCAGGTAGTTGTCATCAAAACAAGGTCCCCCCACCGTCCGGATGTCCCATCCTCCCCTAAACTGCATGTTCAAACTATGTTAAGAAACTGTTTACAATCTATTTTCTGAACAAAGATGCTTTAAAGAATATAGTCATAACAACTTGAACCATGTTTGAACAGTTGTTTCTTCCAAAGCTGTTCTCTTTCTTGCTGAACAGCTGTGGTCTTTCTGCTTCCCCGCCCCAGCAGCTCTCCCGGGTCTTTTCTTCGGCAAAACACCAGGGAGGCGAAGCGTTTGGCCGGGCGGTAGATGAGCTCCTGGTGGAACGAGTGGCTTTGGGGAGCTGAAGGGGACTGTATATATTGGGTCTATCCTATTGTCTGTATCAGTGGATGATGCTTAGTAAAGGCCTTGCTCAAAAATGATGAGAATTGTTTACTGACTGTTACAGGTAATAGGACAGACCCAATGTATATAGGCCCTTTGCCCTGCAGAGGACCATAGCAAGCACCCTGAAAGCAAAATGACATGTCTAATCATGTCTATGTGTCACTCTCTCCAAGGTCTTGCTTGTTGGGGTAGCTTTGTTTTAGCTTGAGGGAGGATAGTCATCAGCAGCTTTAACAGTGGCTCGGACCTTGAAATAAACAAAATACTTCAAAAAAGGCATCGTCACAGTATACAAGGGAACTAAACGTTGCGGCAGTCTGATGCATCGCAAAAAAAGAAGGGGCCACAGCTCCACGTTGCTTCCCTTGGTAGATCCAAACCCAAGGGGCAAACTTCCTGCCACCTGTCACCCCTCTTTTGAAGTCCTGGACTCAACCGTCATCAGCCGGCCCCCGCCCATCGTCCGCCCCGTCCGACCCTCGAACCCATGGGGTCACCGGTCATGCAAGGTGGTGCGCACGGCGGTCAGCGCCGACAGCTTGCTCTCGTCCACTCGGCCTCCGGTTCGTCGCGCGTCGTCGCGCGAGGGCGGGGGGGAGTGGCGCTCCAACGGGCACTGAAGAGCTGGGACAAGGCCAATTGAGATGACACTCCAGGTTTGACCTGTACTAAGTTCCAGTATCTGTCTCATTAGGTTATCCGCCGACCCCTGCCTAGCTGACGCCTAGTAGGCGGGGCAGCGCCTGGGACACCGCAGGGTGAAACGGTGGCTCAACTTAGCTTTCGGCTAGTTGCTCAGCAAGACCTGACAGGCCATTACCTGGGCTTTGTCTGCCTACCGGGGCGTTCCAGGCCGTTAGGCAGTCTCGCTCGGCCAGCACCTTTGCATATTCTGGGCTTCCGAAGGCAACGTTCCAGGCGACGTTCGGCACGCGACGCTGCTGTTAGGCACCCTGTGGCGCGCTGCTCCGTTCAAACCTTCAGGGCCAGGGTGTTTTGTGGCGCCACCGAGTTTTCGGAGTGGTCCATGGGCAGCCGGCCACAGGCTTGTGGCAGCTACCTGGGGCTTGTCCCCTGGTGTTTTGCGTTTGCTCTTGACTTGGCAAGCTTTCTTTCTGCATGCTGTGAGTTTCAACTTTTGGTGGTAAAACTGAACAAATCCACGGCGACTGCGCGCCTGCTTCGGCTGCAAAAATGGGGGTCGGCGGCACCAGGGCATTAGCCCATCTATACTCAGGTAGACACAATGGCATGACAGGTACACCTGGGCACCAGGGCTTCGTTGTTGGCCTTGACCTGCCCTCTGGTCACCCTCGGCATGTCAAGCATTCCGCTGCACCTTCGTTGGAGAGCCACAGCTCCGTTGGCACTTCCATCTCGGAGCGCCCCAAGGCAATCTCCACTCGAACCTCGCCGCTCGGTCTCGCGATGAGACCCCCACACCGACGTCGCGCGCGAGCGACGGCTCGAACCCGAGGTGTGACGGTCACGAGCCATCGCTCCATGGTGGAGCAGGGTTCCATGTGTTGACCCATCTACAGATATGAGTCTGTTATAAGGAGTCAGTCATGTGTACCAGGACCTCTCCCTGCTTCAGTTGAAACTGTTTTTTTAATAGTCTATACTATAGTCTATTGGAAAACCTCCCAATTCGACCCCTTCAAAAAAAGGATAACTAGACCAGTCGACCCATTGGGGCGATCGGGTGTCTCACTATTGAAACATTCAGATGAAGATGGACGTCTGACATTTGGTTCTCCTGGTTTTTCCCTCTCGCGTACAAAGCCGATAATTGGCGTGTGATATAAAAATGCCCATCTCCGTACCCCACTGCCCAGGTGCCAGGTAGTCGGCGTCCTCCGGCATCTTTCGAAGCCTTCCAAAGATCTCCCGTTTGGGACCCCGAAGGTGAGGGACCAAAGACAGCTGGACAACACGAGAACATCAATATGTCTCACAGACCATCAATTCCCGAACAAAAACGATGGACTTCTCAGCGCCGCATGATCTGCCAATCTTAAATCGCTATACCTCTACAAATCCCCGGCCCACGGGCAAAAAATTGTCTGCTGTAGGATTACAAATGTCAGCCAACAAATGTTGGGTAGAGTAGAGTCGGGATGTCAACATTCAAAAAGTATATCAGTATAAAAAGGTAATATAAAAACATAACAATAAGCCATATCAACCGAAAGTAAAAAACTGCGTCCCAAAGCTTCCCAATACCCAGCAATTCTTCGGCGAAGCAGCCACTGCAGAAGGTCAAAGGATTGAAAAATCGATGTCATCAACTCCTGCAGTTGGTCGTTCAGGTTCATGGATCTCACGGATCCGGAAACTGGAGGGCACCACGCAAAAGAGCATTGAAGCTGCCAGATTCACGACTTTCCAAGACAAAATCAGACAAATCCAGAAAACATGTGAATGTATGTGAATGTGTGACTTTACTTCAACTGTCTTTCGGCTGGAGGCAGGAAATGTAAAGATCAACAAACAAACGTACAAGTAACACCATGCAAGGGTTCTTGCCCTTGTGCTTTCACATCCTACTCATTCAGTCAAGAAAAAAAAACACAGTCACCGTTACGGCGCAGTGTTGTGTTTATTCTCAGGAAAATGCCTCGGGCCCAACCTACAAAACCTTATGTTTGCGGCAGCTTGACCCAACAATCTATTGTTTTTTACTTTCTTTTTCTCTCTCTCTCTCTCTCGCTCGCTCGCTCGCTCGTCCTGCGAGTGCATCAAGAGGCGAGGGTCGATCTTTTGAGATAATTTGGTCATCTCGACCTGAGTCATCCCTCCAGTCCACTAGAGTCCAACAACCAGCCCCACATGATTTGTTGGTAGAAAATACCCTCCAAACGCACAAAATAGCACCCCCCCAGGCCCAAAGGCGCAAGAAGGCGATTGTGAGTTCATGCGAATCGTACTAGCCATGGTTACAAATACCTAGTTTTTTGAGTCCTGAAGGACTCTGAAACGATTCTCAAATGGGAGGCTACATTTCACCTAATCCACAGTTGTGTTCCCTCTCGAAAATTTGGTTTTTACGGTTGCGGAGGAACATGTCCAACAAAATGTTTCACGACCTCACAAATGGTTCCAATGTTTTGCCTGAATATACACCAGGTCTACTTCAGCCCATCCCAACAAAAGTTGGAATTGCCACACACGGTGTGCCCCCCTCCTTCGGAGACCCTAACCCCGGTTCGAGTTCGAGGGACAGAGTCTTTCAACGGCGTGGACTCCCAACGTGCAAAATGTTCCTGTGACGCTGCTCAGGCACTGGAGTAGAACAAACACGTGCAATGTCCAACACCAACTGACGAGTATATTCAACGTTGAACGCTGCTATTTGTACTCCAAATCGCAAAGGATGAAGGCAGGCATTGGAGAGAATGCAATCATGGATTTCCTACAGCGTCTGTCACAGCTCCAAACAGAACTGGCAAGGTATGTCTGCCACGCCTCGACCTTGGCTACTTACAAATTCTGGGTCTTCACTTTCGTTCAGGCACCCCGGCTCCCAGCAAACGAGGCGGTCAAGAACAAGCCTGCCTCCAACTGAAGGAGAACGGTCAAGACTTCTGCAGCATCCTGCACAAGGCTTGGCACACGAAGACGACCGATAAGCGATAAAGGGTGCTACAGCAAGGTACTTTTCCTCTTGCGAAGGCTGCTTGCTGCACTTGCTGGTAGGGGGCAAACCTCTACGCTTTTGGCAAGCTTGGCTTCTTCCTGACAGGACACAGGTCCGCGGCCGGAGCGCCATCATCTTTCTTCCTTCATCTTCCTACATCGGATCATCTAGCAACTGCACAAACTGCATGGTGTTGCATGGGCCATTCGTTGGCCCGCTCCAGCTGTTCCTGTTCAAAAGCTGGGCAGTCTAGTCATACCACGTCGTTCCTGAAAGCACCCCAGTAATTCGGCGAAAACCATGGTCCCCCGTAGAGTTTGATCCCTGCTTTTGGCTTAGAGTTTTGGTTTTCATGTGGCGTATCTTGTACCCAATTCTTGCTGCATGCTAAGTGCATGCCAAGGCAGTATGTTTTTTTGAACCAAGTTGTAGCTTCTGAAAACCATGTGCACCTTGATTTTGACACGCTTTCCATGTAATTCTGGGTATCTGAGTTGAAGCAGGAAGGCCGGGGGAATGATGTACCTCGGTATGTATCACTCCTTGACTTCTTGTCATGTTCCAACACCAACTGGTCTAAGCAGAGGCAATGTGCAATTGTGTATGACTGAAACATGCTGCAACAAAGAAAATGTCAGTCAGTGGGTTTTGCCCGTGGCGAAGCCAAAATGTATAACGGTCAACAGAAACCTTTGGCAAAGAGAGGAAGAACAAGCAGCTGCTGTAATATCAAATCCTTCATTGGATCAACTATTAACGTTGACATGTTCCATACTCTCTGCAATACTGGGCGCAGCACAAAGAAACATTAGCAAAGCAACGTAGAATTGGAAGTGAAACTTGTAGTCCTGGCCTCATGGGAAGTCTTCAGTAAAGTGTCACATCAGCAAAGAGGTGTCATCGCAATAGTACAGTTACTGACAGCGAACACCTCCCCAACACTTAGAAAAGGACCATGCACCCTTAAATGTATGTCATTGCACCCCTTAAACACTTTTCTTAAATGGTTGGTCCACTTGCTTTTGAAACTGTGCGTGCCTCTACCAAACTCAATGAAGGAGAGTTCCACCCCATGCCCGAAGTCAAAATGAATCCTGGGGGGTATCGGCTTTCATGCTTTCTTAGCGGGGATATCTTTGATTAATCCACACCCCGAAAGCAATTTCGGTGAATTGGTGAACCAATTCCATGACATCCCCGAAAAAAGCCACCTGCTGAAGAAGAACCCCACCGCTATAGATCGCTGGCGCCATCTGTTTCAATTCCTGGCCGAACAACCTGGGCCCGTCGCCCAATAGAGGGGTCGTCTGACTATGCCGAAGCAAACATGGACGAACTGAACTTGATTCCAACAATTCAGAACCGTCAAGTGCAAAGATCTTCCCGGATCTTCTTTCCAGCTCTTGTGAGTTGCCCTCATGTAAGTACCCCCTAGAAACAGCCAGGAGGTTGATGATCCCTTTATATTCAAGAGGGCTCGTGCATTGAGAGGTCGGTATCCAGCTGCACTGCTCAGAGTTCACTTCAGTGAGCTGCAAAAATCAGCCGTTGAAAACATCCATAAATTTCCTAAGCCAGGCCCCAGAAACGTACTGACATACTTCCCTGGACTATTCCCCAAGAGCCCAAGCAACACATCTTGTTGACCTTTGGGATGTTTGGCGAAGCAGATTTTGTACCGCCAAGCTTGTTAATGGTTTAAAAAGCCTGTGATGTTTCAGAGAGAGAGAGAGAGAGAGTGATGTCTAAGTGGTCTGGATACCCTGTAAAAGAAAAAGAACACAGGACCTTGAAACAGGCGGTTGTAATTTTCCCTCACATCATGCTCACCACCTGTGCGGAGGAGCTGTGCGGAGCTGCTCACCTTCCGCTGTGAACAGGCTTCCAAAAAGAAACTCCGTTCGAACGTCGGAAATCCCGGAAGGGACTGAGTCGGAGGTGGTGACTTGGGCTGTCCTGAAAAGGCACGTCGCACGCTTTTTCTGCATCAGAACCGAGCGTTCGAGCATGTGAAGCAGCGTGCGCGTTCGGCACGCACGTTCACGTGCACCACGAATCACACAGCCACCCCCAACCCGGAATACCATCTTTGGGGACCATTTTTGGGTGGTTGGTCCAAAATAGGTCATATGCACTGGTGTAGTACTATAGACATTACTACATCTATACTTCTACTTCCACACTGCATTTCCACCAATGAAACGCCAAAACCCACCAATTGGCCAGCGCAAGGCTCCCCGGGACCACCACCTAGCCACGCCACGATCGAAACGGCCGATTCGTCATCGATCCCTTCGCCGTCGTGCTCGGGCATCCTGCTTCCCGGTCTCATCTAGGAGCATCTCTTGTAGGGAGGCGAGGGTCTTCTTCAGTCCCTTCAAGGCCATCTTCACGGACCAGCTGTGCCAGAGCTTCCTGAAAAGCAGCGAAAAGCTTCACGGCTGGCGGAAGATCGATGGTTCGTTTTCTTCGGAAGGAAACCAAGCATCCAGGTCCACGCATTGGGGCGACCAAGATCATACGACTGGTTCGGGCACATTATTGCTTGGCACCCCAAGTTATAGACGAGGGGAGGGACCAGTCACGTTTCATTTAAATCTGAACTTTCCGCATGTCAAGAACCAACACTCTTTCCAGCAACTGACATGGAAGGTAAAAAGGGTTTGCTAAAAATTAGCCCAGTGCAAATAAAGGGGGTCGTCGCAAGCATCCGTGCCATGTTCCATCATGTTCCACCAGCCCATGATTCTTAACATGGCCACTGTGAAGGGACCGGACTTTGGAAAGCCAGCTTATGCAGCCTTCGACCGGACGGTGTTACGCCTTGGCTGATTTCCCACACAGCACCGACTAGCAACGGGTGTTGTGGCCCCACCAGGCCACCAGCTGGTGCCAGAGAGGTTGGGTTTCGGTTCTTTGCTAGTGAACCGTGAGTCCAGCGTGCCCAACAGCCAGCCACTTGGGATGGATTTGGAAGCCTCAACATCTCCAAGTTTGGCTGAGAAACATGTGCAAGACACGACAGGCCTCTATGTGGTCCTCTATGCATACCTGTCACTTCCCTCCTTTTCATCTCGTTTCATCTCGTTCCTCTTTCACCCCACCCCCTTCCGCGGCCAGGCGGCTGGGCCAACTGCTGCGCTTGCACCTCCCAGGTGCCCGGGTCCTCTAAGGCTTGCCAGGTCAAGGTCTCCAAGGTGCTCGGGCAGCCTGTGAGTGTAGCTGGATTCCGGGGCCAGGGGTGACCGGTAAGAGAAGACGTCCGGTTGGTGTGGAGATTTTTTGGGTTTGGGTCCAGGAAAAGCCTCTTTACATAAGGCCAAAAATCCACCAACTCAACCTATTGAAGGGTCTCCCGAATAGTCAACTACACACCTACATCGTTTTTTGGATCGAACAGAGACTCAGCACAGCCCATTCAGACCGCAGTCTTGCAACCCTTTGGGGATTTTGTGATCCGAACTGTGCGTTCCAAAACGAAGCAGCCAGGTCTCAAAGGGTCAAGTAGAGGGGCAAAAAAAAAACACAGGGAGTCATCACCGGTAAGGACGATGACGAAGGTACTGGCCCTGGCGCAATAACTCCCGGATTCCACGCATGGAGACTGATCCTGGTTCATCTTTCTTACTGCATAAAGTCCTTTACTCATACCCTTGCACTACTCCGTGCACTCTGCGCTGAATTTTGCGCTCCTGTCACGGCCATCAAGCGAAGCTCTGCTTGGTGTTGCAGCCTGCAAGACGTGTCATGATGAAGTGGCCAGGGTACAAATGCTCAATCAATCGACACAGAAGTGCACAAGGATCAGGAATGCGATCTATACCTGATGTCATCTAATGCTCAATCAATCGACACAGAAGTGCACAAGGATTAGGAATGCGATCTATACCTGATGTTCACTGATGTTCCTGAAACTCCAACCAAATCTAGGAAACTTCAACCACTGATCTGCAGGTCAAGCCTCCGTCCGACCAAGTCAACCGATCGTAACGACGAGTCTCCGTCCGCTTCACCTCTCAAGGACTTGGTCCAACTGCGAGAGCTTCAAGCTGGAGCCCTGCGCGACGCAGCCGGCCGCGGCGTGAAGCCGCCGCGAAACGGCAAAAGGGCAGGTCGTTCGGTGGATCTCGTGGACTGGTCGCATGGTCAACTGGTGGTTCGCTCCAGGTTTGGAGCCATCGCCATAGTCAGCTCTTTTTCATGGCCGCCAGTTGCGGAGCTGTTTTTGCCCTCCAACTGATGGTCCCAAAGCGGAGGGTGTCTGTTTCACCCACATCAATGGCTTGGCTCCCAGTGCGAAGCAGCTGTTCCTTTGCTTTCCAACCCAAAACTTCCAGCACACCAAATCCTCCAAAAACATCACATCCGAGGACCCTCTTCTATGTTTTTATCGTTTTCAATTGCATCAATGGTTCGTCCACGGGTTTTCAACTCGGCAACAGGTCCCAAAAGACCAAATCCGAACACTCCCCAAAACCGCCCAGAACCCGACGCACCGCCCGGGCGCCACAACCGCGAGCGTCGCTTTTTGGGGCATTCGCTTCAAATCGCGAGGTCGCCCCGTGGATGGTCAGAGGGCAACGGTGTGAAGAACTCCTCGACCTGCGTGTCGGTGACCTCCTCCAGACTGGGCGGCTGCCATTGCGGCTTTTGGTCCTCGCGAGGACGAGGGGGTGCAGCTGGGTGGGAGTTGGGAATGAAAGATGGGGAAAGAGTCAAGGTCAGAATATGTTCATCCATGTTCATCCCAAAATTGTGTGGTGCGTCCATCTGTTGAAGGACAGTGTTCCGTATCATGCACACTTGTGCACTTCAAAACACTTGAGACATCTCGTGATAAAAAAAAGCATGTATGCGACAACCATGCGACAACCCCCAAAACCCATCCAAATAAAATGGTGCACATCAAATTTGAAAGACCTTCAAGACCATCAAGTCATATCAATCATATCAAGTCCTTACAGCCCATCTACCCCACCACCTCCGGCCCGGCTTCGTCCTTGTCCACCAACACCGCCCGGATGCCCTCGCAGAAGTCGCTCCAGGGCGCAGGGCGCATGAACTTCTGCGAGAGGCGATACTCGACGATGAAGGCCTCACGCAGCGTCACCGACTGGTGCCGCCGCAAGGCTTCCAAGGAGACCTTCACCTGAGAAGCAGAGCGGAGAAAGCGACCGGGGAGAGCGATCCTGATTGGGGGTCTTGTAATGGTCTTGTAATATCTTGTGTGCTTTTGTCATGAACAAAAAACATCATAAAAGCGAACGGCCTTAGTGTTTGTGTTGGGCCAATTCTACCTCGCCAACATGATCCGTTCACCCTCAGCTGTTGGCGAATGCCGCCCATGCCCAGCGATCAACCGCCTCAATCTGACTCCGTAGCCGTTTCCCTGGAAAACAAAGGTTAATTCACCTTTTTCCTCCTACTCTTGAGTGGAGAAACATGGAGAAACCAAGCCCAAAAACGGTTTTGTAAGTTAATCATCCCCATTTTCTTGAGTAGGCCATGGTGTTGTCCCAACAATTTGGACCACACTCCCAACACCCGTTGGATGCATCCACATCCAAGCAGGACAGCCTGCATCCACCGACCCGACCGACCCGCATCCAAGCGCACCCCCACCCGGTCCAAGGCACTGAAAGTGGGCTCTTGGACAGCAACGTCTTGAGGATCTTCTCTGCTCGTTCCTCAGCGCGGCTTCATCGAGCGAGGAAATCGAACGAGAAATCATCGCTCAACCTGAACGAGCACGGAAAAGGTCTCCACAGGGGAAAAAATATTGGAAAAACACATCGCCTCAATCCACCTCAAACCGTGAGTGGAAGAATGCTCAACCATCTACAGTATAATGAAAGCCTTCAAAACAATTGTTTTAAATATATCACCCAAGTCCTCATGAAAACACCATCAGAACATATCAAAACCATCCACCAACATCGGCGATCCGTGCTTCCGTCTTCGCCGCCTTGAGCTCCGCCACCACACCTTCGGCCGTCGACGTTGCATTGAAGCAGCGCTGCAGCAGTCCGTCGTCGGCTGCGAGGTGGGCCTTGGCCGTGTCGGGCTGGGCGCCAGCAGCCACCTTGGGTGGCGACGGGGTGCGGCTGGAAGCTGCAAATTCCCAGTTGTTGAATACCTGCAAGTGGAACTACTGAGCTTGCTACGTACTCAAAATCCTCCAAAATCCCTAGAGACGTACCGATATCAACTGAATAGTTCACAGAAAAACCTTATCAACTGCTTGACCTCAAGGTCTCAACATCTCCCAAAGCCTTCGAAGTAGACCTTCAGGTCTAGTCTCTAGATTTGCCTACATCTGCGATCAATCGCACCCACCCCTACACCTCATACACCCATCCCATGCCCATCCCATGCCCAATCCCCATTGGACCCCATCTACCGCACCTGGGAGATCACCTCCTCCGCCGCCTGAAGGCTGTCGCAGCTCTTCAGCTTGGCTTCCAACTCCGGCAGCTTCTCGGAGGGGCAAAAGTGCGTGGCAAGGCCCGAGTGGAGGCAATCCGCGGCACCCAAGCGCTCGCCTCACCCACGAGCAGATGGAGCACTGGAGCAGGAGGGGGGGCGTGAAGCGGGGTTGAAGCGTCAGCTCTGCTCGGTTTGGTCACTGGAGTCGGAAAGAGAACGGACACCGAGGGACACGAGGTCTGTGGCACAGGGTGTGAAGCTTCTTAAGCTTGGCAGGCTTCACATTTACCTCAAAGATCCAGCTATCAATGCCATTTCCTTGCCTGCCTTCTTCTCCCCAAAATTGACAAGTATACCGTGTGGGTTCACCTGCTCCTTGTCTCACCGCTCACCCACAGCGAAGTCGGTCCGTTTCAAGCGCTCAAACTTAACATTTCATCCACGTCCATCTCACTTATCTTCAACAGTTCCAAGAACACATTAAGTCCCAACACCTTAAGAACTTGTGTTTTCTTAATTTCGAGAAAACATCGGTGCCAACAGGAAAAAAGAAGAACATGTGCCAACATGCTAAACTGCCAAACAAAAACAACGAATTATGAACAAGGCCCACCAATGCCCATCATGTCCCACCTGTCTCACCAGTTCTGCCACGGCACCCGTGAGGCCGAGCATGAGCCCCACGTGTGCACCCGCCTTGAGCCTCGTCAAGGCCCAGGTGGCGCCCACATCGGGGAAGAGACCGATGCCCGTCTCCGGCATGGCGAACCTGGGACCGGTGCGACTTGCTTATGATCGAAGCACAAGCAAGGAAGGAAGGGAAAGGGATGTTCTCCAGGTTGTGTGGAATGTTGCCATTTTCTGGCGCTACATGATTTTGTTGTTCCCGTCTTGCTCGTTGCCAGCACAGATGTTGTTGGGCAGGCCTAAGCTTGTCTGGGACTGATGATGGAATGTCCAGCGGCCCTATATGGAGACAGGTTCTTGCTGTCTGGAACTGCCCGCAAATAGAAGAGCTGAAAAGTTCAGGGACACCGCACAGGTTATCAACTTTATGGTAAAATGGCTTCATAGCGGAAGATTCTGGCAAGCCGGCCAGTGGAACTGGTGCTCTGGCATGTAAGACCTTGCCATAGAACATCTCCAAGCAGAAAACACCATGACCAATCCTTGTTTGGGATATTCACCTACGGATGAATGCATGTTCCTGGAACTCCTTGGGAAACTCGGGTGGAACTCCGCCCCAAGCCTCCAAAGCCTGAGGACACGTCCCTGAGAACCCCGACAGCGTCTTCTCCGTGCAAACGCGGATCGGGCTGTGAATCGACAAACCAACCCCTCCGCCCATCACAATGCCATCCCAAAGCGCCACCTGGCGAACCGAGAGGCGAACAAACACAACAGACGCGACGAAACGAGCGGGCGGGGGCGGACCCATCGGACCCAATACCTAAACAAAAACATGTAGACTCTTGATGAATACAGCACCCAATTGAACTAGAAAATCCTCTTCATATGGGGGGTTCTATTTATCAAGAGCCTACATGAAAAACCCCTTGAAAAACCAGTAGAGAGGGGGAGAATCCCTGGGGGAGGTGGACCTGGTGGACGGCAAAAGCCTCCAAACTTGGGACGGCTTCTGATTGCGTATGATACTAGGGACCGACTGCAATCAGACTGCAATCAGACTGCAACAGGTCAAAGTCACAACAAGGCTGGATAAAAATCTCCACTATACGCCCTAGGCTGGGAAAATACATGAAAATAATTGAACATACTTATTTGAATGGCGAAAAGGCCTGAACAATCTTCTTCCGCTCGAAGAGAGTGGCGATCTGGTAATCCAACTCGTACTCGTCGTAGAAGAAATCCGCCGGATAGCTGGTTCCATCCAGCACTCCTCGTGGGAGTGCATATTTGAGGGCAAATGGAGAAGATCCAGATTGAGAAAACGTCTGTATCTGTATCTGCATATCCAACGATGGTGGAGTTTGACTAATGCGAATTTGGATGAATTTGAGGTTGTTCACGATTTCCAGCATATAGTCATGGATAGTCGGCGTTTGAGGTTAAAGGCATTGTGTTTGTGACTCACTTCTGCAACAGCTTTTGAGAAAGCTCTACGCACTGAATCTAACAAATGAAATCAAATAGGCAACCGGAAAATGCTCTCTCCCTCTCTGCTTTGTGGAGGAAAGTAGACTGAGCAGTCAGCCGTTTCACCGAACCGTCGGTCGAACCGCCAGCCACCTTGTCGGACCTCGGCCACATCACCGCCAGCGCACAGTGCTCGACCCTCACCGTCGAGCAGTAGAACGCGGAGTGTCTGTGGCAGCTCATGGTAGATCTGCCTCGAGCGAAGCGCAGGAACGAAACTCGTGAGTTTCGTTTCGGTTTCATCGAGTTTTCGGGAGTGACCTACTTTATCAATCCTATTATTGAGGCCTTGGGATCCCGCCACCCTCATTCCTGACGAGTCGCACCAGTCAGTCGTGGGGTGAGATCAACCCGGAGAACTTGGGTTGTTCCCAAGTGAGCTTCGAAAGGGCCAGGTGATATCTGATCTCTACACACTGGGTACCTTGGACTGGCCCCGTGTGCAGAACCGGTACCCTGCGTAAACGTCTCTTGAACTCATGGATCTTCATGAAGCCAGCACCACCTGCAGCTGGCAGCAAAACAGAACAATACAAACTCCTGCCCATCTTCACACTATATAATAACCCAGAGGCCGGGTCTGGCCCTGTCTGCTTTTCTCCGGAGTTTCCACAGACCGGGCACCCGGTTCTTCGCACCTGAGATCATGGATCATGGGCAGCGACAAAGAGTTGAGCTTCTCGGGTCTTCGCAAGGTCAATTTGGCCAAGCTCGGCCCTGCAGAGTCCAAAGAGACGAAGCCACTCGAGAAGGGCCGCCATCCTTCGGAATCAGCGAAGATGCGACGGATCGACGATCGACAGCGCCGAGGTGTATGGGAGGATGGGACCTGGAGCTGGAAGTGATATGGACCCTGAGCTGAGCTTCCTACATCTTCATACCTTGTGTGTATGGCAAATGATGGAAAGCGGGAGAGATCTGGAAAGCCATGCAATAGAACATGAGCATCACAACGTTGCGAGGAACATCACAGCGTTTGGGACATGTAGACACCCAGTTCGATGTGAGACTGAAGACGGTTTAGAGTGCAAGGGCAAACAAGCATATCGATTTGGATCCCTTCTGAGATCCATCCTGAGTTGCCTCTGAAGGCCTGAAGGCTTCCCAAGTTTTGAAGAAATACCTTCATGACTAATTCATGCTTTAGTAAGGCGCCAACGCCAACCCACCAACGGCCACCAACGCCGCTTCGGTCAAGTGTCTCAGACCCAAGCGCGGCAATCTGCGCCAGCTCAACGCCATGGCGGCCCCCGCGGTCTCCGAAGGGCTGCCGCCGGTTCAAGTGAAATCGTCGGCTGAGCCGCGGTCTCCGTGCGAGGTGAACACGGTCGATCCCAAAACCAGTGGATTTTGTCTCACCCAGAAAGGAGACTACTAACAGGAGTCTGTGAGCATGTGGGTATGATTTTTGCGGGCATTCGTTGGAGTTGTTTGGGCACGCTCCCAAATCCATCCTCTTAATGCATTCTATTCACTGCTCACTTTGGCATTTGGATATTACAAGTAGCAGTAGTTTCCAGTGTATCCTGACAACGTCCCCTAAAAAAACAAGAGTTCAATAGAGTTCATACAGTTTTCTATAAATTCCAGACTCTCACAGATTTCCCAAACAAGACAAATATCTAGATCTGGACCCTGAGCCATCTCGCCTCTGGCTTCTCAAGGGATCGGTAGATCTCAGCCCACTGCTGTGCAGAGGACCTGCCGATGCTTTGAGACCGCTTTTTCCCCAAACCATTCCAGTCGCACCAGCCAGCAAACCCCAACTCCGCTGGTTGTTTGGTGATGAAAACATATCAAAAATTCACATTGAAAACACCAGTCACCACACTTGTCTGCTATGTATCCACCCACACACTGTGGATCGCCTCAGATGTTCTTCCTTGAAGGTGCCAACCTCGTGTTGCTTCCAGAGCGCCTGACGCGGCCGCGGGGCTCGCGGAGTCGATTTCGAGGACAAGGATCTCGCTTCGGCCATCGAAGGCTACCACTGTTGACCACCACTGTTGAGGTTCAAGTATCTCGGTAGGTAGTGAAGAGGTCTACTATGCAAAACGGATGCAAAACGTATATGCGTTTTAAGGGTTTTGCATCCATCTGAGCTTCTGAGTAGGTACTGTGGTGTCCCGAAAACATGTGTGACGTAAAATGTGTCCCACGACGTGTCAATGTTGCGAGGAAAAGAAGGTAAGAATTCTGGGCGGCCACGTCCAAGCTACAAGAATGTGCCGTCATTGATGATCACCGATGTCAGCAATATTGGTTGTCCGACCTATCCTCTTCATCCTCCCATCATCTCCCACCATTCGCACCTTAAAGGCTCCACTCTGCCCCAAAAGCGCCAGTGCGCTGGAGCAACGGAGCAACTCGACCGGCACCTGGCTGGCACTTCAACCACCTCTCACGAGAGGGCAAGGACCACCCTGACACCCCTCTCCCGCTGAATCTGTTCCACTTCACTTCCCCTCTGACACCGCCGCGGCGGGCGAATTTCGCAAGCACCTGGGGGAAGTAGCCCGTCTCCTCGCCATTGAGTGTGGACAAAGCGCCCTTCACCGGCAGCTCCGGCCAAACCTGTGGAAATGACCGTCAAATCCTCCATGTTCAAGTTCCATGTCGTTCCATGTTGGTTCAAAAGATGAAGAGGATCTTCATCTTAACTATTCCAACCTCACAAAACAAAAGCCTCACAGCAGTCTGCTCGGCTGACTGGCCAGTCACTGGCCTCTTTGGCTCGGCTAATAGCCATCAAGAGCTTGGGATCCTCAGGCCACAAGCTCTTGCAGGTCTCCACCTGGCGACGGGATCCCGAGAAACGTCCAGAAACGCGACCGGTCGACGCGTTCGCCATCGCCATCCCCATTCTTAGTCGTCCCATGCACCTACCATGCACCTCCCACGTCCTCACCAATACCGCAAGACCACCAAAAGTGGGCTCGCGCCGCGTCAAAACCGAATAACCCCAGCACCACATCCAGAATCCCCGCCCCCAAAAACCATGTCAGATGCACGAGGCTTTGCAGTGTCCCAGTTCCTTCCACAAGACGACTTTGCCATCCTCGCAAGGCGTCGGAGGCCGCCACGTAGCCCGCGATCTCCTGGCGGCTTTGCTGCGCGTGCAGCAAATCGGGCGTGCAAAAATGTGGGGGGTGCTGGGTCAGGAAAGAACCGGAAAAAGCATCTACGAGTACCAAGCTATCATCCAACACGCAGTTGCCTTAAGGGGTGGGTAGGGTGGGCATCTTGGTTGAAAAAACTGCTGCTTAAGGGCTGCAGAAGATGCGATGACATTCTATTCTGATGTGTAGAGTCTTGACAAGAGGGCCAAGCTCTCACCAAGCTTCTATCTTAGCCAGCAGTCTCTTCCAAACCTTTCCGCCTTCTATTTTCTGACCCGAGATCGAGAGAACCAGGTGAATCACCTTCATATCCATCAAGAACCCGCAAAATCACACTATCACCCTAGGGCGCCCTAGGGAGCTACGACATACCCCTAAGCTATCACCAAACAGCAACTCCATCACCCCACGGCGACGCCACGCGGCTCCAGGGCTTCGCAGCCGTCGGCGCGGCGGTCGGCGCCCGCCAGCTGGGTCACGGCGGTGATCTGAGTCGGCGACGACTCCGTCGGGTGGTGGTTCGGTCGCGGCCGCGAGCTGCTCGGGCAAGAAAGGTACCGAAAAAAAAAGGAATCAAGAGAATTCAGAGAATCCGGAGTTCTTTTCCGATTGATCTAGAGTGTCCTTCTGATTTGGCCAGAAACTGGAGCAACTGGCAACCCAAACACCGATGTGCAAAGGAACATCCGAAGCCATCTTATTAGTCCTCCGGCCTTTGGAGTTCAGGAGCAAGGACGCTACGAACGGGGATCCTGGCCTTCAATTGTTCGAGTGCCATATGAATCAGTTTGGGAGCACAAATCGCACATGCCATCTGATCCTCGCCCACCGGTCTGCCAGTTTGAGGCTCCCCAACCGAAAGCGTGCCATTCTCACACGCCGTCGCGAGCAGCTCCATCCCGATCTTTCCAACCTTGGTCCGGCGGCATTTGATCTATCCCAGCTGTACAGAATGTTGGTAAGGCAATTCTATAGAGATGGAAAACCAAGGAAAGAAGAAAACAAAATATAGCTCAGACCGGTATAGTTTCTCTGTTTGGGGATTCTCTTGGATGATTCGCAAAACTAACTAGTGACATTGACATTTAGTGACTATATTATGTAAAAAAACAGCTCGCGCCAAAATGCTTTTACAGAACAGTTCTTGCATACTTTAGCAGAACGATGATCATTCTGGCATGCGAAACTTTCATGAGAATGTGCGAGCTGCCATTAGAATATAGGGCCGATGTGGTCCACTTCATCGATAAAACCGAGGGATTTCGGTGTTTCACTGATGAGGGCCATGGCGTTGCCCTTCTTCGAGCTGTGGCAGGTCTGAGGCTATTCCACAAGACTACCCAACCAAGCCTGCAAGAAGAGACCAAGCAACCAAGACCAACCAAGCCAAGCGAAGGAAGAAAATCCGAGCATCCATTGTCCCTTATATGCTCCAGGAATCCCCCAAAAACACATCTTCGAATCAAAAAAACAACAAAAAGCTGACGGCTCGCTCACTCGCTCCACTCTTCGCTCCCGCACGGGGTCGATGCACTTGGCCAAGCGCTTCTGCAGATCTTCGGGCAGCTGCTCCTGCAGATCTTCCATCGAGGACCGCCGAGGACCGCCGAGGATCGGCGGCTCGAGCTGTCTCGTCCACATCACACAATGTTGCTGCGTGGAAATTGGATGACATTTTGTGGTCCAAACTTGGAAATTGTTGTGAAAGGCCGGAAACTTCGTGCTCAAAGGTGGAACCAGGGAGGTGAGGACAGGTCAGGAAAGTCTCTAAGCTGCCTTGCCTGGCTGCCTGCCGCTGCATCTGTGACCCCAAACTCTTCCGTTAACTCCCGCAAACGGGCGTGAACGCTATATGTAAAGCGATGCCGTCCAACACAGATCTCCGATCTCCTGCGCCTGATCAAACCAACGCAGCACTCGAGACCAGGACAACCTCCCCCGGCCAAGTCCGGGCGTCGACCGGCGCCGAGGGATCAGGTGGATTGGACCGAGGTTGGAGGGAAAGAAAGGGGACGGGGGAAGGAGCTGGACCGGTCAACCTCAGTTTCGGAACTGGAGAGGTCGATGATGGGTCAGTGTCTTTGTGTAACATGGTGAGTTCGATGCGTCTAAAAATCTCGACGTGCAAGCTGAGCTGATGGTTTTAGACCCAAAAACGGCCAATCGCCCACTCATCTCATCTCATCTCATCCCTATTCCACCCTCCAAACTCGGTCTCCGGACAAATCCAACTTCAGCACGTCCAGCAGTTCCATCTCCTTGGGATCCTTCGCCTCCTTCAGATCTTTTCGCTCCTTGAATCCGCCTGCGGTACCCGGCAGGATGTGCTCGGGCCGCTCGGGCTTCTTCTTGGGCTCCAAGGAGATCTCCAAGGCCACGGCCACCAACTCTGCCTCGAAGCCGCCAGAGAATCAACGAGAGACGCGAAACGCACAAGACGGAGGAGGTCTTTGAACGGTGCGATGTTGCTTTAATAAGGCAGGGGTGGCACACTAAGAGCGCCCTGCTTGTCAAGCACTGAGGCTTGACGAGCCCACAAAACCTGGCGTGTTACACGCACTATTTCTATCTACTCGCGGCCTGCTTGTTCTTGTACACATGGCAATTCAACCTTCATACTCCGTGTCTCATCCCTTCTCCCAGCGGACCTGAGCTCGGCTCACGTTCTGCTCCTGCACGCGAGAGGTCGGCTCACGGCACAAAACCTTCCCACAATAATAGTAGATCAATATACCCACTTTGAGCCCTTGGACCCGCCTATCACTTGACCTCTGGAGAAAACCCAGGTTGTAGGCCCAGGTTGTACGCCCCAAAAACATCTGGAGGAAAACTATTTGAAAGCAGGTTTCACCCTGAGAATGCGAATGCTTCTCCAGCATCTTCCACACGAGAAGTGGCACGCCCCAGTCGCATCCGCCTTCGCACCTCCGCTCTCGCGGATCCGGATCCGTGCGCCTCGTCCGTCAAGCCCAAGGCCTGAGTCACACCCAGTCGCACCGAACCAGTCCTTTGGACCTCTGGTGCCACACCAGTCAGACTGGTGATACGTGGCGCAGATCGGATCGACCTTTGATACGTACCCACCGGGCCGACCGGTGATGCGAGGATCTCGGTGAAAATGATAGGGATGATCCAAATTCGCTGATCCAGCGAGGCAGCACTAGGTAGGGCTTGGGGCTGGTCTCTCCCGGCAAACTGGCAATGTTGACCATCCTTTCAGCCAAAATTGACGATCCTAGGACAAAGATATACAGTAACTTCTGTCTGTTCATGCTGGGTAAGGAGACCTGCCAATCCGACTCTACCCCGAAACTCAAACAAACACCCTCAGAAGATCATGACAATGGTTTGAGATCTTCAACTCTGTATAACAAACCCCGAGTCAAATGAATCCATGATACCCAGGTCAAACTGTACATTTGCCTTCTCCTTTCCTGGGGTATTTTTACAATGAAGAGGTGCTTATAGGCGAGCTAGGGTCAGTTCCAGTTCCAGGTGCTCCCAGAAGCCCAAGCTCACTGAGAGGCCATGCCTGGATGTAGAGCTCCATAGCTCCATCCACCAACCAGACCTAGACTTATATAGACCTTCCATGACCTCCCAAAAGACCCAAAAGGGGTCTAAGAAGTGTCCAATCAGGGAAGCCTAGTTCAAGCCTAGTTCAAGCCTAGCCTTTCGTTGGTGTCTTTGTTTCCCGGCTACTCCGCCCCACCCGCCTCGATGACCCGCCGCAGTGGCAGCTCAGAAGCGACCCGGCCTGAGCGTGGCTGACCGGTCAGCCACGCCGCAATACTGTGCGTTTGGAGAATGAACACTTTGGGGTGCCTAAGTACCAGGAACAAGTTGAAACCAGTTGAATGGTCATTTCTGGGTCTTCATTGTTCTATATGTGTGTGCCTATCTGCAAATTCAATGCGTTGGTTCTCGTAGGTTTGGACGTGATGAAACTCAAAGCGGCCCCGAAACTGGACCACATGTCTCAGGTACAGCTTAAGCAATGCGCTGGAGCACACAGTCTTGGGGCGGTTGGGAGGTGGGCGCCCCAAAACAAATGAGGAAGAAAGAAGCCTCAGGCCGTAGGCGCCGCAGGCCGTGAATATCTCACAACTTGGTGATATTTGGCCGGGAACATGCACGTACGGGACACATTCAAACAGAAACCTGAAGCTGTTCAAATATGTTTGGATGAAAGGTGACAGCAGGTGACAGCATGAAAATAACACCCCAGGTACAGTAACATCTGAGTGGATGGTTAAGGGTGTGTCTTCAGGTTGGGCTGATTACACACACTTCAAAAGGGTCGTACCTTAACAGGGTTGTGAGTATCACTTGTGGACTACCAGTCGCTTCATATATCCCCAGCATCTGCATCCACCAGGCCGTTCCGCCCGTAGCCGTCCACCAGCGACAGCTTGAAAAGACCAAACGGCCGACCTCCACCCACCAGCTGAGAAGCGGAGCGCCACCACCAAGCTCTTGCGTAGCTCTGGGCCGAAGTGATCCGCCAAGCGATGCTGTTGGAGGAACCAGCCACGGGGCTCCTGCGACACGCGACCGTGCAGGCGGCCGTGCAGGCGACCGTGCAGACCGTTGTTGGTTGTGGACAGGGGAAATGCAGGGAGTGCTTGATGGGATTTGCTGCAAGAGAGATGTTTCTTGTGTGCGGTTCAGCTCTTTGAAGATCTGTAGGTTTACAATGGGTCTTGAAATACTCATGCAGCTCATCAGCAAGTCATATGAGGCACACACAGCTCTTGGCAAACAAGCACCGAAGAGATAGCTCCAACTACTAAACCACACAATAAGCTACCCAACAACCACTACCACCCTACAATTACCCCCAAACAAACCCAACTTAACCCAACATGGTATTTGATTCTGGAGAGGATCCCCATCTGACACCAAGCTGGGCCAAGTTGCGATGCCATCTCCGATGAGGTGCTCCAAAAGCAGATCCTCCAAGCTGCTTGGGTTAAGCAAATCAGGTGCTGAAGCAAGACAATCACAATGATCATCACCATGTCAACGAAAAGATGCTGAAGAAGGTTGGAAAAGCAAAGAGTTTGGCCAGCAATCACCCAGATGTTTGCTCACTAAGCTGGCAGATCTCCTCCTTTGTAGTGTCTCTCTACTCTTTGCCCTTCCAAGATTGCCCATCATGACTGACAGCAAAAGCTAGGTGGTCTTGAGTCGAAAAACTGCACTCTACCAAACCAACATGAGGACACCAGGACCATGATGTGCCGAAAACGAATACACCTGGACACCTAAACCATGGTCTAAATGCTGTTGCTCTAAACCATCCTGTGTTATGTTGGCTTGGGGGTCCCATGTTGGTTGTTTTTTGACCCCTGCTAAGCATCGAAGACGCGTCAATGCCCAGTCTGCTCGTCCTCACGTTTCAGATGCCACCAATTCACGCCACCCTTCAAGGGCAACCTTCGTCCCGGTGGATCTGTGGGTCCTCCAACAACCAGGGAAGTCCTCCAGAGCCGCCATCGCGAAGCTCTTGGTCCCTGAGGTGAGAAAGCTCTGAGGTTGGTGCTTCTGGATCCTTTCAGACTTGGCAAAACGCCTGGGAAACGAAATCCTACGTCCTCACCAGTCTGGCTTTGGGCTGGTGCGTTGGATGCTTTGGGCTGCATCCTGCCATGTACAGCACTCCTACAAGTACTGACACTGAGAAGAGGAACCTCAGAATCCCTAGATCTGCAAGACTGATTGACATTCAGATCGTTCAGTGTGGGTGCTCTTTCCCAAAGGATGGTGGAAAACTGTCAGAACTTCAGTTAACCTCAGGCGCAGTTGATGTTCAAGTGTGAACCTACCCTGTTGTTTCCATCTCCCGGTTCCTCTTCAAGGTCCAAAATCCTGATTGATGAATACATGAGCCTTAGGTCCATTCATTCCTTGGGCACCCTCATAGAAGCTTCTCCCCGGGTCTGCCGGGAAGTCAGACCGCGTCTCTGACGCCCCGCCCCGGTCCAAGCTTCCCGAGTTCGGCCAGGCGTCAGGGGCCGCAGGGTGTCCATCAACCTCGGGCACTTCGGGGTTGGAACGGGGAAGAAGGGAGGCTGGAGCTGGAGGCAGCTGGAGGTAGCTGGAGGTAGCTGGAGGTAGCTGGAGGCTTGGAGCATGGAGAACAACTTTCATGTAGCAGCATTATAGATGAAATGCTATATTAATTGCCAACCAAGGAACACGTGTCCCAAAACATGATTCATCATGATTCTCATGTAGCAGCTTGACGTGAAAATCATCTCAACAGCTTGGTTCACTCTGCTTCAGCCATGATCTCATGCATCAACCTCAAATGCTTTAAGGTGTTTTTCCCAGCAGCGGCGAACAAAAGCCACGAGTGGCTCACAGTCTCAGAAATACTTTCCAGAGAGAACCCTGTTGGGAGTCCACCAAATGCTGGCAACGGCTCTGCAATAGATCCTCATCCGCCTCATCCCTAGATCCGTATCATCCAGGAAGACACCTCTCCACCCCACTGCTCCGTGGCACCACTGAGCGAAGGCCGCTGCGAGCATTGGATCATCCGCACCACGGTCTTGCAGCTCCTGGCAGGTACAGTCGGGCATTTTCCACGGAAGCTCGCAGCCGCTTGTTCACGGAGAACCAAAAACCATCCTCCTGGCGCCACATGCAACCCTTGGTACAAATATGGCGTTCGAAACCGCGTGGTTCGTGGAACGGAGAGAATCTCTTCGAATCTCCGGTAGCGCCACATCGATGCTCGGTCCCCCCCGGGGTCTTCTGATCCTCGGTCCCCGACGCGTCCTGACCGCCCCCGGCCGCCCCAGCACCGGTCCTTGGCGATGCGCGTGAAGCTGCTGCGGACCTCGGGTGGAGACCGGTGCGGAACGGGCGCGGAACGGGCGGAACAGTCCCACCCGGTGCGGTTGGAGAGGGTCTCGGAGTGGGAGGAGAAAGGGGCCTGGAATGGCAGGGCGTCCGGTCGGAAGCCTGGTGATCTAGGTTGATAGGAATGAGAGGAATGACGGAAAGCTTGTTTTGTCCGAGTGATGCAGGGTAGTCAGAAAAGAGTGGGAGATAGTCAGGATGGCTTCTTCCGGGATAGGGATGCCCATATATATATACAATAGATTCACTGGATAGGTGAAAGCCCTCATTCTCGAATACTGTTGGTATAGTCGTGCTTGCCCAGTGAAGGTCGAGATGACTTTTCCTTGAACCCCGAGAAATAAAGCAATGGAACATGACCCTGGTCCACTACTGTTGGAGGGAGAGATCTCCTATCACTACCTAGTCCAGGTGGTGCAGGATTTCTTCCACCTCTGTAATTGCGGATCGATGTGTCCATTATGTCCATAACATGTTATACACTACAACCACTATACTATACTATAGACGAACTCAAAAGTCCCTCATCCGTACACCACAACACATTCCTCCCCCACCCCATACACCTTCCTTCCGGACCGTTCCGAGACATCGCGTGGGTCCGGTGCCCCCGGCGTAGCGCCGCAGCGCCCAGCGCACCATGCAGAGATGCATCGGGCGTTCCGGGAAGCCTCGGTGGAATCCGCACATCACGCGACACATCACTCAAACCATGCGGTTTGGTCGTACCATGCAAAAACATACAAAAAACACCAAAAGCTTGAGTTTTGTCCACCACCAAAAACACATGCGGTTTTTTGGTAAACGACCAAAAACATACAAAACCACCACATTGGTCACATTGGTCACGGTGACACTGTTCCACCATGTGAAACTTGTTGCACACAAGTTGTTTCACATGACTGTTCCGGCAGTTTGTCCACTCGATCTGCACTGGGTGATGGCAAGTCAATGGCGAGTTGGCTCAAAAAATGATAAGTGCAAAACTGGAACCACAAATGACCACAAACCACAGATTCTGAGTCGGCATTTACCAACCAATGGAGTCATGTGTTGTTTTGTGTGGGTACCAAAACATTTGGACCCCAAGTGTCTGTTGTTTTGTCGGCAAAAGGGTCGCCATGCCCCATTCATTGCTGATTCCAGAAACCCAATCGAATCCAAGTGCGTGTCCCTCATACTTTTGCTTGTTCGTTTCACTGCTGCCAGAGTGTGAACCCTGATCCCGTCTTGGAAGAGATAGCAGGGAGTGAAAAAGCATGCTCAACAAGGACATTGACACTGCGCATCCTGAGAAAATTCTGGGCCCCGACATCTGCTGGCCCGTTTAGCACGCCCTACCTTCCCCTCAAGCAAAAAGAAAAACCACCGTGCACATGCAAGCAGCAACTGCGCAAGGTCTCGAAGAGACCCACCAGAGCTGGCATAAAGCCCACCTCCGTTCGGAGCTGTCGATGGTGAGTGGCACCAAGGATCGAAACGAGAATTCTACAAGCAACAGTACAACTGTATATAGGCTTGATATGAAACCTCATGTCGTGTCCGTTTGCTAGCATTTTTCACGAGGACAAATGCATTTCAATCCTGTAATTTAGTTACGTAATTACTGTATTTGAGAGGTTGTTTGGATTGTTTCCACTCTGGGCACTGTTTCTAGGTACCCACCGACCACCATCGGAAATGCTTTCAACCCATTCCACCTCTCTCCCCCCTCCCCATTCCTCCGCCCCGCCGGAATGGCGTGGAAACCGGGAACGGCCGTCTCCGCGCCTGCCGTGCAAACCAAACTCCATCAACGCAGTTGACCGCCGCCTCCATGGACAAGAAGCCGCCTGCGAGGAGCTGAAGAGCTGGATCCGCATGGACACGGTGTCGATGCTCTCGGGATCAGGTCGCTTTTGGTTCAATAAGACAAGGCCGAACATGCTGCAGAAGGATCTGCAAGTTGAAGTGGCTCCATACCAGCATGATCTTCTTGGCAAAGAAGGAACAAATATTGCTTTACCTTATCTTGTTCTAGTTCTTGTTGTGTTTTCCTTGTTTCCAGACAGACAAATCAAAGAGGAGAGAATCTGATCCGTAGATGGCCTTGGGTATCACCTGTTGGGAGGTAGCATTCAAAGGTGGAACGCGCAAACTGCTCACACGTTCCTCCAAAAGTAAGGGAATTAAATAAACAGAGGTCCACCCTCCTATTCAAGATGAGTGCATGAAGCGGAAGGTCACAGTCAAAACGTAAGAAGTTAAGAGCAGCTCCTCTTGCAGCTCCACACATGTTGGTTCTCAAGCTGGCAGCCTCTCACCACCTCCGACAGAAGGGAAAGCAATAATACCTCGATCAATGGCAATAGTTGGCAGGTCCGATCATCTGATCATCCTCGACTAGAAATCATTTAAACCACCCCATACCATCACTCATAAATACGTCCACCCCGTCCAAACCTCCATAACCTCCATGTCAACTCCACTTCCCTTCATTCCACCTGTTCCACGGACTTCTTCCTCCCCATCGTGGCAAAAGTCACCCACTCCAGCCGCCCCAGTTAGCTGCCCTGGCCCCAACTCGCCTGCTGCCATGCGCTGCAAAGCTTCCAGGTCCTTGTGCTGAAAGGGTCTCCCTTCTGACCTCCGGAGTAGCGGAGTGGCGACGGTGACGTCATTTTTGGAAGGGTCATCTGAGGAAGGCGACGAAGCGAACGGATAGAACGCCATTGTTATTGCCAAAGAAACGGGACCAAACAGCGACCAAACAGCAGGATGAATGGAATGGGGGAATGCATTGAACATTGAGAATCCAAGTACAAACTGCTTGATCTACGGAATTAGGGGTATTACATCTTTCCCTTGACAAGCTCTTGCCCCGCTGCAGCCCTCCACCCCAACCTCCAATCAAAGAATCCAGCTGATTTTTCATAGGCCAAGTAGCTGCACGCAAGGTGGCCAGAAGTAGCTGGTCAACTTGATTTGCAAGTCCTGCCAGCAGTCTGCCCCTCCTCTCATCATGTCCTTCGGAACTTTGTCAACATGCCACCAGATGGGACCTGTTCCTGCTTGGAGAGCATGGAACATGAGCGGTCGTTGAGCAAAACCGGCACAAAACTCTGGACATTACACCTTAACATGGTTGCCTGGATGCTGCTAACTTTTGTCTTGGACACCACCCTGGACATTACACCTTAACATGGTTGCCTGGACGCTGCTAACTTTTCTCTTGGACACCACCGTGTTGCTGGTCTTTGACACCTCTCAGGCCAAACCGACCAAATCTAATAATCAAGGATCAAACATGTTCAGCAGACAATATTCTGCCATATTCTGCCTTCACCAACCAGGTGCTTTCTGCTACCATGTTGTTCATCCCTGAGCCACACCGCAACAATGTCAAACTCTTCCACAGATCTTCCTCCCAACACCACCTGGCCGAGTCTCTGCTCATGCGCCACGGCCGACACAGTGATCACGCGTATATGAGTGGTGACCTAATGTAGACTCTTGATTCTTAAGCCCACCCCAATTGAATGCACGAACTTGTGGACTGTCTCCAGCGCGCGCCCGAAGGTGGGTGTAAAGCATGGTCTGACCCCCTACGGTGACCAAAAAAATGTACACGATCTACGAACAACATGGTCTGACCCCTACGGTGACCAAAATATGTACACGATTTATGAACAAGCTACGAACAGGCATGTGCGAACGAAGGGGCAAAACGGCAACAGTAAATGAGTCACTGTGGGGATTACCATGTCGATGTCAGGTGGCAATAAAGTCAGAGTAACCTCCACGGGCCCTACCCTAACCACACCATATTCCGAATTGCAATGCGCAACCTGCAGGAAGGCATCTGATTGGGGCCAGGATGTAAGACATCGTCGAAGCTTTTCTTGCGAAACATAATGTAGCGGATATGTTGGGTAAGCTTTTCTCTTTTGGATAGCAGAATTTTTGGCCATTGTGGCCAGGGCTGTACAGAGATCTCGGTCGGCAATGGTGTTGGTTCCACTTCATTGTTACGGAATGGTGGTTCATGTGGCATTGTAAGAACAAGATTCTGTAGATAACAATATGTTTCCTGCGGGTTAGGGAGTTGCTGGAAATTGGTACCTGGAAAATCCCAGGCGGGTAAGGCTAGAGACGCCTTGTTTCTTCTAGGTCGGCAGGATCTTTGCGCGTGAGAAAGTTTGCAGGTGTTTGACAATAAGACGTCAGGTTCTCAACTGGTTGAATGCGTCACTTCATATCATTATATTCCAGAGGTCGAGTACCTTCCTTGTCGGAAATTCGGACAGGTAAAAACCTCCCCATCCACAACATAAGGATACTGTCAGTTCTGTCCAAGAGATTCCCGGATCCTGTGAATTTGGCCACTTTAGGGGGTTGCAATATGACCAGACTAGTCTTGCGTAGTTACAGCCCCAAAGGCATGACCAAAAGACCACCCGGTGAGGTTCGGGGAGAAGTTCAAACTGGTCACCAGATACAGACCCGTCACGCAGCACAGCTATCTGTGTTGCGGGTATTTTGCGTACGCTCAGGAGTGGTTGTATGTTGAGATGTTGCATCGGATGTGTGAATTTACCTCCAATGTTGTCATTCGTTCGCAAGACAGGTCTAGAATATACGTACTGATAAATCTTGGTCAGCATGGTTCGCTGAGATCTATAGTGATTACGGATATGGAACGCTTCTTCCTGGGACCTGGCATCTTCAAGTTTAAGGTGTGATTTGATCTTAAAGGCATGGAATCTTTGCGCATTCCATGCTACGCACAGGCGCTCTATTATATCCCAGAGGTCTCTTTTATGCGGACTGTCGTGAATTGTACCTGCTTCGATATGGGTAAGAACATTAATAGCGAAGTCGGAGTCTGTATAAAAAGACACTGTGCAACCATCATCTGGCTCTTGGGCTTGTTCTGCTGCGATGAGGACGTCGTATATTTCTGCTCGGTTAATGGTTTGGTGTCCTGGACAGTGTCCTGTGGCAAGAACTGGGTTGGTATCTATGGCTGATTTACGAATGACGATTGCCCATGCTGCCCTTGAAACAAAAGGGTCGGTTGAGTGATCACATGAACCATCTGTGTAGATTGTATCACCCTGCTGAATATCAAGGCCAGGATTGATATGTATTGTCTAGCATCTGTGGTGCATTGCTTGTCTGGCAATTGGCATATTTGGTGTATGCACTGGCAGCGGGAACCAGCACAAGTGTGCATGGGTTTGCCTGTATTGAACGGCTTCAGGATGCTTGTTTCGAACTGCTTGAAGTGTGGGCAATCCAGAAGGAAATGCTTATTTGAGTCATGCTCATTGCAAAATTGGCAGTTGGGGTTGCGCTGCGCATTCCATAGGGCAATGACACCATTAGATTGCCATCCCGCTGTCAGGGGCGAGAACCCTTCTCAGGAGTCGAAGGGGAGATCAGGAACCCCTTTTCTATGTGAAATTTCCTTATGGCAGTACCAGTCCCACGCTATGCGGATGTCTGGAATGTCGGAGGCTGACACGCAAACCACCTGGGCCTAGCAATGTAGCGTTGGCTGATCTGATGCTGGGCTGTGGATCTGACCATGGAAATTACGGATATAATTGACAAACTGGGTGGCAAGGGTGGGGTGGTATAAGAAGAAACGTCTCAGGGTTGTATGCAAATCTGAGAGCACGTAAAGCATGGGGTCCTGGACTCTGGACCGTAGTAGCTTCTCTGCGGAGATTAGCGAAGTGTTTATCACCTATGGCTGTCCCCAATGCTCCGTAAAAGGTGGCTGGCCAAATGGCAGTTTGGATCTTCTCTGCGCGCTCTTCCAGGCTGAGGTTAAGCTTTCGGAGTCTATTGCATTTAGCAATCGCGTTGTCTATTTTATCTCGCAGGGATCCCAACACGATTTGATTTGTGTAGGAAAATATTCATCCGAGGTCCTGAACATGGTTTGTAATGGTAAGCTTGAATCCGGGTGTGAGCATCAATTGCGATACATCTGTCCAAAATTGTCGAAACTGCTTGGTGGTCGCCCAGCCCCATGACTTGCTGAAATCTATTTCATCCTTAGATCGTGGACCAGGTTTAGGATCTTAATCATGGCCGCTTTCCCTTTCGGAGGTAGCCATAAACGACCAATTGTCTGCGTCGCGTGTGCATATGGGAAAAGCTTTGGGCGTCGGAGGGCTTGGTGGAAAACGTAGCTTAGCGCTACTATTCCGACAACAGACATCGAATCCCCTGCTGGAAGACCTGTAGTCGAAAGGGCCGCAGGACCAATGGCTGTGCCACACTTTAGATAATTTCTTTAGGGACTTAAACCAAAAGTCACTGATATAGTGGGGAATGCCCAGTAGGCAAAACACATGCCTGACAACACGACGGGGTATGAGGTTGAATGCTTTTACTATAGGTCCATTGTCCAGCCACACCATGCTGTGCGATGGGTCAACTTGCAAAAGTTGTACCAAACTCAAATCTCTTGCGGAACGGTGTGGCAATCCGCCGCTAATTTCTGGAGGCCATGTAGCTGTCCATTGTTTCAAGACTTGGTCGGCGACAAGCTTAGACGTTAGACGTGCCAAGAAACCTAAAATGGTGATGGGTCTCCCGCCTGATATGGACTCTGGCTTAGTTTTTTTTAGCAAATATCAGGGTGCTTGCATAGAATATGAAGTGTGGCCGTGGCTCCAAATAGCCGAAAGGATGCCTGACAAATCGGAAACCATGTCCCACGTTAGAACCTGGAGTTCCTCTGAATGCCATCCGTCAATACCTATGGCTTTGAAGGGTTTAAGCCTGTGGATCGATTCCCACAAACTGCCGGGGTCATCGATTTTGATGGGTTGAAACAGGTCTGCCCAAGGCTCGTCTGATTCCTGGTCGTGCTTTGAATCTCTTTGTGGCCAGTACTTATGGAAAGCCTCAGACATTGGTTGAATTGTATATGCGTGTGTTCAGACAACAGTTTTGCTTGTGCTGGAAGTTCCCCTTGGATATTATGTAGTGTGAGGCGAGTATTTTGGCATGCGGCTACTTCTGCTGTGCGCTGCCAGCAGTGACTGGCAGGGGCACTGGCATGCGCACAATCGTGTGACCACGGCGGCTTCTACACAAGGTGGCATCTGTCTCATGTTTCACAGGTATGTCATGCAATAACTCTGCTCTTTACCTTTAATAAAGCGGTATGCTGTATGCTTGTGCGTTATTCGTGTGTGCCAAGGCGAAGGCAATCGAGTGCTTCTTATGGTGGCGTCGTAGATGAGCTTCCTGTCTGGCATATGCATCGGATTGAATTTTGTAATGCTATAGGCATCTTGCAACCATTCTGTTGATGGAGTATTGTCAGTATTGTCTGGGACACAGTGAACGAAATCAAACCCAAGAAGCCATGCGGCCCAAGATCTACCGAAGCCTTGTGCTCGTTTGATTGCTTCCCACTCGAGTTGCAATTGTTGTAAAAGTTGTGTCTTGTTGCGCTGACGGCTGATTTTCTGACTGTGTCGTAGTAAGGACGCTAAGCGCCTCACCTGCCCCACTTTAAGTCGTGCCTTACATGATGTGACCTCTGTAGGTGGTTCATAGGCTCTAGTCCGGTCGATCTTGATCGACTTTGGTGCCACGTGAGAAACATATATTTGGTGGGTCTGCATCTGCCGAAGTATTTTTTACCTAGGCATGGTGTAGGGAACCGCATGGGGTCTGCAGTATGTTGTTCACTAGCTCAACCCTTGTTGGGCCTTGTTTTCCCTTTGGCGCTTGCATTGCACGGTCCCCCCGATTTGTGGGGAGCTTGGGAGCGCCGTGGTGAGGAGCGCTTGGGGCTTGTTGGCTCTTGCTGGTCCAGCCGAAAGTCATGAAAAGGGTGGGGAGCCAATCGGAGCCTATATTGACATGCACCCCCCAGGAGGTTGCCCGTTATTGGGTTGTGGCCAAAATGTCACAAAGAACGACGCCGGTTGACAATCATCTTTTCGTCCATGTTTTCGACCACAGTGTCCGGGACCCTGCTAGTAAGCCGGCGCCTACTGTTCTGAGCACAGGACTACTGGACCCATGTCACTGAACATGGAACTTTTGTGGTTCGAACTCAAGCCTCCGGGAACAATAAAGCATCGCTTCTTGTTGTTAAAAACTACTAATTTTGCAACTGTGATGCCACCGTGTGGTCTTGCAGAGCGTCCTGGAAGCATTTGATGAAATTGAACGACCTCTTCATACGGGGGTCTATCTATCAAGAGTCTACATTACTGATACAATAATTGAATCTACTGAAACAGCCCTCTCCTTCCGATCCACCCCCCCGCCTGCGTCAACCGTTCCCCCGTCATCCGCATCAACTTCTCCGCGCAGGAGAGCGACGGCGCCATGCTCAGCAGCTCCGCGCTGAAGGCCAGCGCCTCGCGCGGACGTCGCGCAAATGACTTCGCTACGAAGGTGGAGTAGTGACGGATGGGTCTGACCCAAGAAATTTGGCAGAAGACACTGCCAAGACATATGTTCCACAAGAAATATATCTGCGGTCCAATCAATGACACGTTGATTGAAGAAAATTTACAAAGACGCATTCTGCAAAGGCCCAGAACCAAGCTGGTTGTTTAGTCGCGTGATCAACCTGAGCATGTCACCCTCTCTTTTCCTGTGGAGTTCGCACCAAACAGCAAAAGAATGCTTACGCTCCGACTCACCAAGAAAGGAAGTGGCACAAATCACCAAAGCTCAAACCAAGGTCCCAGACCCGCTACCTGCCGCTTTCTGCATTCGGCTTTCGGCAGCTCCGTGTGTTGGTCCGAAGCACACTGGACGCTCAGTCCTCGCGCGGTCACGTCGTGCGGTCGTCTCCAGCCTCCTTGCCGGCGCGGGACAACTCCTGGTCGAAGCGTTCCTCGCAGAGCGCGCGCCTCGGTGACGGGTCTAGGCGTCGGTGGTACTATCTTGACCATGACCGGTCCTCAGCCTGAACATCAAAACAGTCCCTTTTTATTGTTTTGTCTTATTGAAGTCATCAGGAACCATCCCAAAAAGAAAGCTGCTTGCATAGGTGCTTGGTACTTCGGACGTGGAGGCAAACATCAAGGCGTCGTTTGTCGGGGTTGATGAGGCGTTTTGACTGGTGGTGTTCTATAAATATAGTAGGTAGACCAAGACCTGTTCGGAAGTGCTCCGTGTGGAGTGCAAAGGTCCGCCTAAAGGGACCCGAGGTGTGAAAAAAAGGGTTTTGTCGCATCCTCTGACTCGTCTTTGACTCAGAGTGGGTGTTCTTCTCCTCCAACTCTGCCATCACAATTTCTCCCCTCCCCCCTGCGCCGGATGTGGGTGGGGCACCTGGTGGCTGCCACGGTGGTCAAAGGCCCTCCAAGCAACTCCAGAACCTGCACATCGACAAGAAAAGTGAGCGGACGTCAAATCCTCGGTGGGCTTCGGCAAGGGTCTTGAAATCACAATGGTGCCATGATTACCTATAAGATCCTATAAGCAGCCCAAGTAATTAAAACCGTGGTTGCAAAAGAAGAGGAAAAAGACTCAATGTGTGATCTAAAAGGCACTATAAGTTGCCACCTTTCAATTCGTTTTAAACAAAACACTGTTTACCACTGCGCTCTCAAACCGTCCCCATCAGCGCACGCTTTCTTCGCTTCATCACCTACCTCGGTCCAGGCTGCCCTCAAGCGCGAGGCTCGTTGTTGCGCCAAGGACGCTGAGTGCTCCAAGGTCTGGGCAGCACGTGCCACCTGTGCGATCGACGCGATTGGACCACCCAGATGAGGCTCCTTACCCAGCTCCCTTCGCTTGAGGACTGGAGGGTGGGTTTGGAGAATCAAGTGCCCTAGCTTCCGAGTAATTGAAGCCACCAGAGGGTATGTTTTCGGGTTGCAAACTTACACACCCCAACACGCGCAACATATTTAGAAAGTGGCAAACTGCTTGTACGATGGTCTTCTTCTGAAACACCTCTGGCCGGTTCTCTGGCGTTTTCGTCACTCCCAGAACAAACCCTTCTCAGTGATGATTGCTCCAGGCATTTTGAACAACTGTCTAGAACCCTCGCACGTATTAAAGCACCATCTCCATCCATCCCAAGGAAGAATCTGAAATCATCGGTGGTCTTGGTCCTCAAGAATGCATCAAAGAGGCCGATCCTGAGGCGTCCCACCATTTTGCCTCGTGGCATCCCACACCCTTCCGGTGCATCACGTGGTCTCGTCCGGTCACCGGTTCCTCCGTCCGACGGTTGGATGGCCTCCGATTGCCTCAAGGCTTTCATCACCAGGCGTCGAACGAGCTTCCCATCCACCACCAACAGGGAGCCATCACCTGAGATAGTGAAGGGAACTTTCAGTGTGCACGTGTTTGATATACTTCGTGTTTGCATCTTGTTTGTTGCTTCCCCCCAGTGGGAAAAAGGAACGCGCTTTATATTATGGTGTTTATTCATTTTTTGGAGCCAGCAGTATGAAGATGAGTTAATTACGTGTTTTTTGCTGATGGTTTTGGTGATGAGTGCGAAGTTCCCAGCCGTTAATAGACGCAGTGACAGGTTGACGAAACGCGTTGAGGTGGATGGCCGCTGTGAACCGTGAGGTCTTTCCGAATCCCCAGCGACACCGGTGTCGGAGTGGGATCGTAATGTGTCGAAAGGGATGGATCACGGAGAAACGCACCGCGTTAGGATTCCTCTGTTTCTATACTACCAGGGGCCCCACAAACCATCAAAAACCAGGTTTTCCCTAGCAAAAAACATGGTTGTTGCATGTGAAAACCTTTCTTTTTCATGGTTTTGAGGGCCCCTGGTACTTCTTGAGTGAACAAACAGACTCACCTGGCGGCCTGGCGTGAGCCTGGAGCTTCTTCCCTTCCTGCCGTTGTTCGAGCCGATCAGCCAAGGTACTCAGCACAAGCTGCTGACCCAATGCTGAGAAGCGGGCCTAGCCGGTGCTCTGGAAGACCGGAATCTCTCCGGCCCTATAGAACGTGACATGCGAACGCACGAGTCATCTCATCGTCCAGGTGACGAAGATTCGCCTTCTTCCCAGTTAACTCTTACATAGATGTTCCGCGGCCTTTGATGGTTCAACTGTTCAACATCAAAAGCCTTGTCAAGTATTTACCCATCAGCCCGAACCCTCGCACGCCCGAACCTGGCCTCGGCGCCCAGACCGTCTACCTGGCCACGGCTCATGGCCTGACCCGCCACCACGGAGCTTTTTCCCTTGGAATCCTTGGGCGTGCGGAAGAAGAGCGCCAAGAAAGAGAAGTTCGGTGGAAAGATGGTCCCCACCTGCCGAACCACCCTGAGAAGGAGAAGCCCTTGGTTCAGTACTTGCTTCTGTTTTGGGTGTCCAGGTAATTTTTTTTGCGGCTTGTCTTACATTCTTACATCAGAGCTGAGGGTTGAAGGCGGAAAGGAAACCTAAAGAAGAGCAAAGATGAAGAAAGAATGGAGGCCGTTTTGAATTACTTGCAGATTTGCTTGTTCAGGTTCGGCAGCTTGCCCACTACAGATCTGGGTGATTCCTGCTTTCAAGGCAACAATGCACCCATGCGTTTCTGTTCGGCTTTTGGATGGGTATACTGTATACCAAACGACGATACGAGACGAAACAAAACCTTCACCATCCAAGTCATTCAAAGTCTCCCCCCAGTGCTATTGTGAGGAGCTAGTAAGAGGTGTAGGTATACACTCATGCATACTCGTACCCCCCCTGGTTGGTCCAATGAGCAACTCGTTTTCGCTTTCACCCGCCATCCAAGGAGCCCAGAGTCCCAGTCGGTAGTCCTGGCGAGGGCGAGCAAACAGTCTGTGCTCACCGTTCGGCTGGTTCCGTTGAGGAGGGCCCCCAGATGGATCACACATGGCTCAGTGGGTGTGAAAGGTGATTGGAAAGTGAAAAGAAAGAAAAGGCAAGCTGACAAGAGAAGGCAAGCTGAGCAAAAAACACATAGCTGCCCTATATATAGTTTTCCGGATCTTTCCGGGTCACGGAAAGCCGCACTTTGAACAGAGTTGTTGCTTCGTCAGAACAACTCCACCCCAAAAAAGACTCAAATCTCCGAATCTCCCACGACTTTGGATGTTTCGTTTTAGCCCAGAACTTCCAGAAACATATCTCATCAACGTCAACGAACCCTACAGTCCCCAGGCCTTAAAAGTTGCGGGCCTCTTCAAGCCCTGTCTGCGTTCTACCATGGTCTACCATGGCCACCTCCTGAACGTCCAGATCCATCATCCATCAAACCACATCAAACCACACCATCTTACCATGCATCTCATTCCCAAACAAACAACACGGCCGCCGAATGCCGTTCGCAGCCATTCAAGCCTTACGGCTCAACAAGAAGCCATAGGACTCGGGGTGTTCAGGGTTCCGCCTCAGACCACAACGCATTGCGGCAATGAGAAAATGTAAAAAAGAGTCTGGTACGTTTGGGGGGGTTGGTGATTTCCACTTGCCTTCTTCCTGCAATAGTTTTGTTGATTGATAGTCATCGAGAATTCACCAGAAAAGAAAAAGGTAAACTTAAAAAAAAAAAAAAAACAACAAGGCACAGTAGTTCAGTTCACCAATGAAGGGCCTTCTTTCCGTCCATCTTCGGGTGGCTTTACCCTCAGATCCTCTTTCCGGTGTCACCGAGGCACATGTGGGTGAGTCCCGTGATGCCCTTCAAGTCCAGCACCGATTCCGCCTGGCCCGCAACGAGGGTCGGTCGCGAAAAAGACCAGGCAAACTGACCTTTAAGACCCTACAAACACGGGAAGTGCTAAAATAACCTGCCGTAGGCGGCCGTAGATTCTACAATATTCTGCTTTGGCCCTTGGCCCCCCCGTGTGAAGTTCATATTTATCCAGGCTGCAGGACTTGAAAGAGTCCAGGGGGCCTTCCAAGATCGGCCACGTCAAAAACAGATAACGTCACTGTGAAAACCGATCCACGTGACATCTGCTTTGTCATTGCACGCCACGGACGAAGCAGCGCCTTCCAAGAACATTCGATCTTGGAGACCCGGACGACAGCGCCGGAGTGCCTCAGTGACCAGCGAAGCGTCCCAAGGCGTTCGTCAACAAGCGGACCTGCGTGGTAGCTTCTTGCTACTAGTAGTAAGGCCAGGAGCCCCTAGTAGCGTCCTTGTTACTAGTAGAAATGCCCTCTGCTCCTAGTAGCTTCTTGCTACTAGTAAGGTGCCTTGCTACTAGTAGCGATGCCCTTGTTACTAGAAAGCTTAGAAGCTACTATTGGATAGCAGCGGTGAACATCCACCAGAAGCTGGAAACCTTTTTATGATGATCAGTTGTTCATCGTTTTTCCATGGTTTTCCTATTTGTCTAACTCCCCAAAAATGGGTTTTAGGATGTTTTCGGTGTCGCGGCGTCCTCTGCGCCAGCCCGTCATGCCAGAGTGTGTGAGATCAAAGAAAGGAGCCACCTTCTCGTCCATGAACCTCTTATTGCCAGTTCATGAAACCCACTCGGGAGTTCAGCCCACTCCGCCAATCCCTGCCAAATGCCTTGAACCTGCGCATCCACCTATCAAGAGGTCGTCGCGATGAACACCGAGCCACGCCAAGTACGCATGACCCTCAGCACTGTCGAGGGTCAGTGCAGCCGCCTCCTGCCGGTTGCAACGGATGGTCTGAGAGTGGCGACGGCAAACAAAGCAATCGCAATTATCGTTGGCTTCAACTTTTGGGAGGTATGCCGCAATCTATCTCGTGATTATCAACATCATTCAACTTCAATGCATTCAACTCCATATTCAAGGCATGTAAACATCCATTAGTCATTAGACGCAGGGATAGTTCATGCACTGTTCCCCAAAAAGGGGACCAAAGCACCACTTGAAAAACGAAACACTGGTGCCACCCGTGTTTTCTTATATATTGGCTTACTTGATTCAGGTAAATAGGTAAGTCCCAACGCATTCTTACAGGCTTTCACTCCTTCTCTTGCCAAACCCATGGCACATCGCTCCCCGTATCCCGCGCATCGCCCCTGAAAAAGCCACCGAACGCAGGTCCTTCATGTTGTGTCGCCCCATGGGTAACGCGATGGAATCCACCAGGCCTGGGGGGTGGGCGAAGCGGGGCTCCGGTCATTGTGACCCAGGCCCGGCAGGAGAATGGGATCGAGTCATAAAGCGGTAGTTAGACTAGTTAGATGGGCACTGGCAAAGTGGCTTCCTCCTTCCTCCGGTCCGATCTACGTGAGCCATGCTCAAAATGACTTCTCCTAACACACATGACATTGCAGGGTGAGCTCAAGTTCTTACTCTGACCACAGTTCTTTGATGATTCTCATGTGCATCCTCCTTCTCAACCTCCCTCGCTCCCTCCCGCAGAGGGTCTCCATCACCCACCCGATCCAGTTCCGCCTCCTTCGATCACTCGAACCGTCCCCGGATGTGCTTCCTGGCCGAGGAGGAAGAGAGCCAGATGGACAGTATCCCGCCGTCCCACCGTTTCAAAAGGGTATATAAACATATATAGATAATATAGTCAATTCACAGCCAGGAGCTCGGGACCTTTTCATCAACTCTTGGAAGAATTGTGGAGCCCAGTGAAAGCTCAGCTGCTCAACTTCTCCACCTCCCCTTTGCGCACCGGTCACCCTCACCGGTGCTCGCCCGCCATCGCGAGGTCAACCCCGAGGGGGGGTCCTCCAGGACGAGAATGCCGGAGGGTGTCTCCAGCACCGCCACAGGTGCGCTGAAGGTCGCAAGGAGGACAGCGCCATCCCGTTGACCTGAAAGACACGAGACCGAAAGGACCGGGTCAAACGGCCGGTCAAACACCCGGATTGACTTCATCCCGGATGGAAGGGACATCTGGGCTTCAGCATTTTTTAGGTCTGGGTGTCACCTGGTCTTTTGAAACCACGGAGATCAAGTTTAAAAAGACTTGCTCAAAATATGTGAAAATAATTGACTTTTGGATGTGTCCAGTCTGCCATGAGGAAAAAAGGCAAAACATGAACCAAGGAACCGGAAAAATGGAACACCACTTATATCAAATGGATATGAACTGAACCAACATGGGTGATGGCCTGCCAGGATTGCATTCCCTGACATCTTCTTCAGCTTCTATCCAAATTTGCTTGCATCACCAAGGAAAACACCCCGGTAAACACCAGCACGTGCTGGCTCGGGTGCCTTTCACGCCGCTGCCCGCCAGAGTCTCGATCTGCGTGAGGGCCGCATTGATTCGGCCTCACTTTCGTGACCGTGGTAACAATAATCTCATACCTCCAAATGTGAAACCAACAATCAACAAGCCTTTTTACCAACACCTCACTGGCGCGACGCACCTCACTGGCGCGACGAAAGTCGGGAATTTTCGGGTGGCTGGCTCACAATAGATCCCTATACAGGTCACCAGCCACCCTCAGTGATCCTCAGTCCCTACAAGTGGCGACAGTCAGACACGGGCTCCGCTCGCAACTCTCGGTCTTTCTGGGGCACAAGGGCCATCAATTGGCATCGATTGTATAAACCTTTCGTTGCACCAACGACCACTGGCTAGCTAGTTACAATGCCTGGTCCCCAGGGAACTGCAAAACTTCAAACTCCACCAGTTTCCCAAGGAGACTGCGGTTTATTGAAATCCGGGAATTCCTTAATCATCTTAATCTCCGGAAGAATCATCCACATGCAGCAGTGCAGCAGCTAACAAAGATAACAAAGCAACAAACTGAAGAAATATTGCATTGGATATATATGTTATGATGATATGATATGATATGCACCAAAAAGATAGCAATGGCTGTTTCACGCATGCGCCGCAACGCTCGCCAGACAAGGCCAGGCACGGATGCGATGGTTGGAGGTGTCCGCCACCAAAATGCTACCATCTTGACCTAAGGATGCGAGGCGGGTTGGTGGTGGGGTGCGTCCTATTGTCCCGCCATCCAGGATTACCTCTGTACTTTTTGGGCAGATGAGATGCAAATGACACAAAAAGAAAAAAACATAGTGTACAATCCATAATGCAATTTGCCATACCGCAGGCGTCAATGATAGCGTTCAGGCGGTGAGATGATAATAATCTTTATCAAAGTCTATAAGAAATGGCCGCCCTAGTAGATTCTCCGGCTGGCCCCATGCCGCCATGCAAAAAACAAAACAAAATTGATTGATCAATTGGACTTACCAGCTTTCTTCTCTACGTATTCTAAACCCTCACAGGGTGGCCCAGGGTGGACAGCTCTGGCCCCAACGACCTGGCGACGCGCGCGAGAAGACGTGTTGGCTCCGAGCGTCAGCTGCCCAAGCTCACTGCACGCTCACCCAGTTTGGCCGTGTCGATGTTGCCATCCAGGAAGCCAGACTCGCCCTGCCGGTGAAGGCTGCGGAGGTGCGAGCTGCATGGCGAGCTGAATCCCCTTCTCCAGATCAGTCACCCTACGACTGGGTCAGAGACAGGCGAGACAGCTGCTGAGTGGTGAATCTGGGTGACAGTTCTTGTTCTTGTCCATTGCTACACCATTGTTACAAGGGCAAATTCGTCCATCTAGCACTCCCTGACTGGATTATTCCCTTTTCAAGCATACGCATCATGCGATCTATCAAGGCCAAGAAGGATGTTGATGTTTGGGACTCATCTTCCCCTTAAAGACGCTCTCCTCTCCCAAAGCACCGTCTACTCTTCTCTCTAGGCTACATGTAGGGCCTGTAGCTTCTTTGCATCCTCCACACGGGATGCGCCTGTTGAAGCCATGTAGGTGCCGATTTGCCCGAGGCCGCTTGGGCGAGGTAGAGTAAACCACCTGATCGGACCCCAAAAACAGGCCAGAACCAACACCACAAGCAACTGTAGAGTCCATCATCTAGAGTTTATATAAATGTGTTCTCTTGGGATTGGGTTTGCGCCTGAAGAAACTATAAGCAGGTTTGATTTGCTGTCAACTTCCTGAGACAAAGTTCCGTTCACTCCGAAGCCAACTCAAATGGAAAACAAAAAAAAGAAGAATCTGTTCAACCTGCCCACCAAGATAATGAAAATAATGACTGGACCATCCAATGGGTGTCCAAGCTGGACTACCCAGCTCATTACTTAGGGATCTCCAAAGAGGCCATCCATTGGATAGTCCTTGGTGTGTTTTAAGCAGCATAATTAACGTGCTCTTTCTGGACATGTTGCACCATGTCACTCCAAGTGTTTTCCTAACACGTCTGGGTGAACCGTGAGCACAAGAAAAAAGATTGACCCCTCTTGCATCACCTGACCCTCCATTTGTGGCGCGGCCCAGCCTGTGACAGATAAGATCACGGCTTCACCCGCACGCCTCGAAAACAGCTGGATCCGTCGACCCAAAACCTACAGGGTTTGCCCCTTGGGTCACTCCAAGATGGACAACATGTGGCCTGAAAAAATACGTCCATGACCATGTGATCCCCATGCGATTGGCAAATACTAAACATCTACATGCACGAGGTCCGTGTGCCATCCGCCGACTTGCAGTTCTTTTCTTATATAAGTACTGGGCACATTCGATCTCCTCATGCAAGTCAAATGACTGTCGACATCAGTGTGCCGAACTGTGATTCGACATGGACATGGTGTGATCCCACATCACCGTCCATGTCCGCTGACCGACTCTGTTCAAGGCGGCGAAAGGTCTGCACGCGTATGTGCGCCAAGCATTCAAAGGTTCCGAGCCAAGCCACGCCATGCTGTGCACCGTGTGTTCGGATTCCAAGCGCCTCAAAACGGCACGAAAACACTCGTGTTCGCCGGAACGACACCGAGGAGGAGGAGGAGAAGGAGGAGTTCGGCCCTGAACACGACTGCGTGGCGTGCGTGCTCGGTCGATCACTTGGGGCTTGTGTTCGTGGAGATATCCGACAGATAGAATCCAACTGGATCCCGGGCAATCCCCAGTCCATGCTGGCACGGCTAGGTACGTACATGTGTCACGTCGATAACTTTCTTTTTGCCGAGGAAGGGCAGTGTTTGTTGGCGTGGGGGAGGGGAGATGGTGAAGAATGTAAATAACTCTAAAAGCCATCTACCGCCTGATGTTTTCTTTCCTGGTCTACCGTCTGATGCCTCATCACCTCACAAATGTGGAGCTTGACCTAAGTGGGTCACTGGTCTTCGTGCCTTCATCCAGCTTCGGCGACTTTCAGAAGCTCAGAGCTGTTCCACTCAATCGAGTAACCGGGTCGACCACGCATCGAGACCCAGGTCGACCACGTTCATCGACCCATCGTCCGCGGCGATCGGCGCATCGGAATTCCACGGCATCGATGGGGTTCTATACTTGCCGACGAGGTTTTAAGTCTAGCATTGCGGGGGGTCGGGTGAGGCCTACAACACTACACTCAAACACCAAAGAAAGAGTTGCGAAAACACTCACCTGCATCCGGGGGGTGGGGGATGGGGTGGTGCCAGCAGCACTACAGTTGGGAACTGACAAAGCAAGACTTTCTTGCACTCACCTGCATTGGGGGTGAGGTGGTGTCTACAGCACTACACTCAAAGAAAGAATCTCTCAAACTCACGAGCATGCAGGGGTGGGGGGGGGCTACTCTTGTGCACTACCAAACCAAGACTTTCTTCTGGAGTCTACAGCACTACAACCAAGCACCCACTCGCCTGCATCCGCGGGTTGAACTTATTTTGCTAAGCTGACTTTAAGTTCCATAAGTTCAAGGGTTCCTACTTGTGGAACTCAAAGTCTACTTGGTGAACTTGTAGAACTTGTAGTTGTACTTGGCCGCATTTCCGACTATGCCCTGACGGCCTGGCCAGACCGGCTGGCAAGGACCTTCAAACTGACTCAAAACCCAGGCCTGGATGGAGGGGAGCTAGATACCTGTTCTAAGTGCCTGTGTTCTGATGCACACCCATCATCTTCGATCATCGGACGGCCATGCCACCCAGGTGCGTTTGCACGGCCGCCGTGTTGGGCGAATCCGGCACCTCAGCGGACGCGTCACGCGTCGAGAGCGACGGTGGAGTTCGGGAGACACTCAGGAGCACCCTACAATGACCGCGATGGCCTCCAACCTAAGAGCGGGCTAAAACAAAAACAGAGAATTACAGGGAGTTCTGTGAATGTTCCAAGTGAGAGGAAAAGACACTTTCTCAATTCGGACTAGCGAAGAAAAGAAGCGTCTATCATCGGGAGTTCTGGGGCCAAAAGAAGTGTTCGTTTCACTAGAAGGGAGTTCTGTGCATCTTCCCTTTTTGTGCATGGTACCAGGTTCTTTTGCGAGTGAGAATTGGCTTGAGATTCCTTGAAAGGGGACATTTAAACCGCACCATTGTTCTATTGTGGTTTGAAGCCCCCAAGAATCAACACCCATGTAAATTCAATCTATCAATTAATTGATATTAATGGTACATAGATGTTCTTTTTGGTTACCCAAAAATCTCCAAGAATCCTTCAAAACACACCGCCATCCGAACCTTATTCCTATTCCTATACCCAAAAGAGAACGCTTCCCGTCGTGGCCATGGTGGCCCAACCTCCTCCGGAGTCCCTCGAAGGCTGCGCGACTGCGCGAGGCACTCCTGCACCGAGGAGACTCCGCAAAGACTGCGCGAGGACGATGAATGGAGCCCAGGGGGAACACGGCGCGTGCACGTCTTCCAACAGAGGTTGAAAGACCAGAACTAGGACCCTGTAGTGGTACATATGGGATGGGCTATAGGGCTGTTCAGCCTCTCTTGGTTCGCCTTCGTCTTCCGTCTTCGCACGTCTTGCGGGCGGGCTCTCGGCACGTCTGAGTCGTCATCGGCAGGTCAGCAGGTCGGTCTCCTTCTGTCGATCGTCTTCCTTCTGCAGCCAAATCATCGCCTCCTGCGCCCCCGCGCGCCACTCCTGCCGGTCACGCGCAGTCGCGCAGGTCGCTCCATTGGTCGGTCACGACGTGTCCGTTTGGATGGAAGGGTGGTGTCTGGGGGCGATTGGTCCAGGTGAGGCGATTGGGGGAGTCCAGAGATGAGATCTCAGAGAAGCACTTCTTGACTGTTCAATGACCACTGTCTCACTTTGTAAAGATAGAACATGGAAGGGTTGACCCAATCGGCGACAGAATCCACTTCCAGGGTTGTCGGTTTGAAAGTGAAAAAAACGAAGGAGCCCTGTTACTTGAAAATAGTTGCAACGTGAGATAAACTCTGTTTTAGAGTAGGCCACCCTCTAGCCTAATGTCCTATTGTGCAGGTCCAGACGTGGTTCTTGTTGGCTTTCCGCAAGCGGGTCATGACTGCAATCCCTCAACAAGTCCAGCTGCTACATGGACGGGCTATAGTTGAAGCACATGACCAAACCGAGGCATTTGGGGGGGATCTTCTTCGCTCCAACTGCCCAAAAGGAGGTAAGGACATGGGGCGTCATAGGACGTTGAATCGCCTACATTCACAAGGCTGTGACCCATAATAGGCATCAAATAGGACCTCATAGGACCCATGGGACATCAAAGGCAACACGATCCCCATGTGACTCTGACCCTGCCACATGCGCCGCTCGACCGGAGCGAAGGCCTCGATCTTCGGCTCGAAGAACATCAGCGAAAGCTCCGCATCCTTCAAGAGACCCTCGGTGTGGACCCGCTGGTCGAGGAGAAGCGTGGGGAACGCTGCTTATCAGGCCCATTGAAAAGACAAAGAGGCCAATGGCCAACTCTTTGTAGTGTCAGTGAATGAGTACTTCATGGTCTTGCCTTTTGTCTAGGGTGTAAACGAACAAGTGCTGATTCTTCAAGCCCCACATGGACCTCTTGCAAGAAGTTGCCAAAACAATGAAGACTTGATGCACCTAAACCTGGAAGAAACCTGGAAAGTAAAACACGGTGACACATGCACTTCCACTTTACTGATTCCACCGCTTCCAACCCCATTCAGCTTCTCTCCAAGGCACTGCCGAAACCTCATCACTCAAGGGCAACATCGCCTGTGCTTGCGGGTGCTTTCCCCAACCAACAAGAGATTCTGAGATGTGTCCGTGAAAAACGCTCTCTATACGTCCACCTGGCAGCTTAAAGTCCTCCTCTTCCACAGGGACAACACCTTCAACGCATGCTTTCAGCTGCTCATAATGAAGGCTGGCCTTGATCCACTCGACGTTCTGCTGGCAATTGCGCTTCAGCTCCTCCCCATGCACCGTCAAGCGCCCCGCGATCTGCCTGCCATGGGGTCGTGCAGCGATGCGAAACACCTTCCCAAACGCATGGCACCCCAGAAGAACCTCTCTCGGAGGAAGAACATGAAAATCTCAAATCATGTGGTTCTTCTTGAAGGTCCAAAAGAGCCAGCGCTAAATGTATACCCCCCCAAAGAACTCGAACAGCTCAAGTCCCATAAAAAACACCACTTGGGAGTTGAGCCAAGAGTCTTGACGGGTATACGCTTGTATGCCGCATTCTACGCATAGCCGACGTGAACCCCAAGCGAACCCTGACACAGTCCACCAAGCGTTCCCCACATTGCAAATAGCCAACAAACGACATGAGGCTTTAAAGCAATTTGGGATCACAGGAGCGTAACATAACTAGTTCAAGGGACTTTCTCAAATCACCTGAACTCAGTTCAACATGAGAATCTAACTCACAACTCCGAGATGTCCAGCACCGTAATGGGAGGAACCGCGATGTCATGTCGGTCCCTAAATCAAAACACATCAACGAAACACTCATGGGGCAGCATGAGTAGAAGTGACATCATTCAGAATCCAACCTGCCCACGCCCGCCTGAGGCTCTGTGCTGCTTCAGCCCAGCTCTCCTGCACTGCAGAGGTCGTCCGCAGCAGCGTCGGCCGCGCGGCGCCGGCTCCGGCTCCCGCCGCGGCGGGTGCCGCAGGGGCGTCGGAGATGAGGACGACATCGCCGGCCTGGCGTTAGAAGAAGGCTGCGCGTCCTTATCGTTACTTTGAGAATGTACGTATAAAAAAAGAATGCCAAATGTAAGATCTGGCTTGGTTTTAAGGGTTTCGGGGAATGGTGATGCCACCAATGTGACTTGTAGGTCAACATGTTGAGATTGATGGTGGAGAATAAGAACTGGAGAACGGCAGCCGACCCTCCCTGTTTGTCTCTCTCTCTCTCTCTCTCGAAACAAAAAAGTTTATGATTTATGGGTCAACATTTTATGGTTGATGGAGAAGAAGTGCAAAACAGTTACTCAAACTGCAACAAAAATGAGCCCAAACCCACACGCAACAACCCACAAACCACGCAAGACTACCTTGACCGACCGGCGGTCTGACAGACCGCGTGCACCAACTGCGAACGGACCGCATGCACCTTCTTGCCACCAAGGGCAGGCCAGGTGAGTTTCTGCATGCCCTCGTGGAAGTGGGGCAGCAAGGGCAACAGGAGGTGGCCACGATAATGCGGCACGGCGCTCCTGGGTGAGGAGAAGTAGGCTGTGTAGGGGGTGGATGGTGAGGAGCCCAGATCCAGATTCAGATGGCCATCATTAAGAAAAGTTGAGCCTTGAGTGGAAGCATGTCCTCAACTTCTGTTACACCTTTGTGCTTTTGACAAACCACCGCAAAACCTTTGAGCTTTTGAATGCTATCATCAAAGAAGTCCATGGCATGGCCATTTCAAAGACCGCTCTACAACTGGCCTTTCGCACGTGCCTTTTAAATTCAAGGCCTGCAAATCTACCTATTCACCCACCACGACACGCCGTTTACGCCGCCATCGAAACCACGTCGTTGACGCCGCCACGTTGGCACGACCAAACCCGAGGCTCTGTGCTTCGGCCATCGCCAAGCACCGGACCAAGGCCATGCTCTGATCGAAGAGCCCCAGTCGCTCCACCGGCGACAGCTCCAGCCGCTCGCCCGAGAGCCACCTCGGGATCTCGGTTGCTCGCACGCGACGGGCGCCCGCGCGGAGATCGGGCTGCGCGACGGAGATCGGGGCTGTGCACAGCGTCACGGCAAGAAGGAGAGGAATTGAAAAGATGTACTCAACCTAGGAGCGATGGGCTCCAACCTCGTAGTGAGATGGCCTCCAACATAGTACTGACTTCTGCAGATTAATCGGGAGAGGGTATAGATGGGTTGGTTTGGGAACACAATCCCAACATTTAAAAACAATCTGCACACACCCATCTGCACGAGGATTCATATATTTATATTATATTACATAAGGTCTATAGATCGACTGTTGATTCGATCTTATAACAGTCGAGCGGCATCGAACAGAACATTCATTCAAGTCTACCGTGCTTCCGGGTGTTTCAAAGCACTAGACCAAAACCCTTCTGCCACGAGCCAATGCTCCGCCTTGCCCAGAACTCCCCCGCTCCTCCGCTAGAGAGGTCCAAGGGGCCAGTTTTGAAGACCAGGGGCGGAATCCAGATATCTGTCCTCCTTCTCCTTCTCAACTTCAACCTGCAGAAACAGCCCGAACCGCAAGTATCCAAAAAATATGCAGGAAGACTCTGCTCATATAAGCAGCACAGGTGTCAAGGATCAAACACATGGAGCAAAAGTATGGTATCATGTTCATCCATGTTCAGCTGATGTGTTTGATGTTGCAAAGTTGAAACAAACTATGAGCCCCAGTTCAGCTCATGTTACAGAGCGTTCAACTATGTTTAAAACGTCAATTCCACTGGTTAGGTAGGCCTTCTTCGCTGTGGGTGGCGGGCATACCGGGAAGCATGCCTTGGTGGACAGGGCATCGCGGCGCATCGCAGCGGACATCGGTAAGTCCGTTTGGGCCGACCACCTGAGTAGATCATAAATTGGTTTCATGAAAAGAACATCCACGGTCCACGGGAAACCCATTTGAAACCCTGTTTTTTACTGTATACTGTAACGTATATAGGTTGATTTTGTCTTGAAAACCGACCATGGCTTCCTCGTAAAATGGCCTCTTGTAACTTGTAACACCCATCCATGGTGAGAGATTTGTAACATCGCCACTCCCAGGATCTCCATCCTCCCCTGCCTCCCGTCCCCCGCACGTTGCCCAGGCACGAGCATCCGCTCCAGCAGATCCCAACAGCGCTGGGGCGGCGCTTTCATGGGCCCTTCCAACAAGATCGCCTCCCAACAGCGGTGAGGAAGGCCGGAAGGGAGGGAAGTCTTTTCGCTGGGTCGACCGGTGAATGAGGTGCGGTGTGTGTTTCAGGCGATCTGTGAGTTACCCAAATCTAACCCACAAGGCAAAGGATGGGGAGGGCAGGTTGAGGTATGATCTGAAGCTATGTGACTTCCCACAACCATAGTGCCGCGGCCTTACCACACTCCTTCTGGTCTGCCAAAACCGACCCACCCCGGGCCGGACAGTTAACAGTATCCCATTGTGACCGCTGAGCCCAGCCATCCAGCCCCCTCCTCGGTCGCCGGGTCAGCCACCGCCCGTTCCCCGCCTGACCGAGGCAAACCACTGCGGCCAGCGCGGTGCTCGGAGCACTACCACCCTGGTGACGGTCCACGGTCCACGGTCCAGGTGTATGGCCTCCAACCTACAAGAATAGGGAGGGGTTCTTATACTCAAGAGTCTACATGATGACGTGCGCTGTTCTCATAGAAAAAGGTCCACTGTTCTCGTCAATCATGTCAATGATATACCAGAATATGCACAAGCTTCTGATTCTCCGAGCGTTGTGAAAGTCTATCACGCCACATATGATGCCGAATGCAAAACAAACCTTCCTTCCTCACCCCCAAGCACGGCCAAAGACACCAGGCATCACCAGGTGTCTCCTAACACCACCTTCCGGTTTCAGTGATCCATCATGATCCATCTGCGATCTCATCCCAGTGGCGCTCGTCTTCCCACGCCTCAGGCAGCACTTGTGCCAGTTTGGACGCCATCGAGCCCGAGGACAAGCTCTCGGCCAGCATGGAGCACAAGCTCAAATGCACGAAGCACGCCTCGTAGGCCGAGCGCCTCAGCTCCCAAATGGGTTTTTGTGTGTGTTTTTCCGGCCGAAGAAGGCGAACAAATATGGTCCAATCGGATGGATGAGAGATGACGTTTCTTCCAAAGGAGGAAAAGGAAAGAGCGGAGAAAGATCTTGCCCCACAAACCGGCAAGATTTGATCAAAGTCCTAGGAATCCCTTTAGTTTGTTGTGACATCAATCTTGCATTGATCTATTTTTGCGCAAATTCTTCCGATTCAGTCAATCTGAACAGACTCCCTGTAAGCGGTATGTGTATACATGTGTAGACTCCCAGGAACTGACTTAATCCCTTGCAACTGCAAGAAGCGGGTGAAATCAACCACCTGTCGTCAGCTTCAATGACACGCTCAGCCAACAGAGCTGAAAGCGAAAGTCAACAGTTTAGTAATTGAGTATATCCGGATCCGGATCCAACACCTTTGGGGTCCAAAGAAGTGTAACACCATTGGGTTGCCTGAGTTGGCGCACATCCGAACCCCGCACCCAGAAAACGGCCACTTCCGCCCCTTGGGCATCCCAGCTCTAAGAATTCCTCCATCAGTGCCACCACCGCGCGGCCATACCTAGGGGCGGCGTCTGCAGTCAGCGAGCGCTGCGCGATGCGGCGGGTGATACGGTTAACGGGCAAGTCGTAGGGATGATCAGCCGTGCGTCATGATTCATTCTTCGGCTTAGGTATTTCCTCTTGGCCTAGCGCATCACTGTCAAACAAGTCATCTCCGCCTTACCCACAAGTCTCAAGCCCGATTGGTTCTGCAACCAGTCCAGCCCTCTTCCGTCTTCCGTCGCCTTCCGTCGCCTTCCGTCGCCTTCTGCCCAGTAGCAATTCGAGAAGTGGGACTTCCTGGGAACCGCGAAGGACGAATGGTCCCAGCGCGGAGCAGTTGACCACGGTGTCCAGCGAAAAGGTCCGACTCACGGGGAGCCAAAAAGCCCCCGTGGTTTGGGACGTTGACCGGCAAAAATCATGGAGGGGACGCACATACTTCAGGCAAAAAAGGTCTGACGTTGACCGTCTTGACCTACCAAACGTTGTTTTTGTTTAACATATTTAAGTCTTTGAACCCCAACAAATCTCCTCGGATTCCTCTTGTTCGTCAATGAACTGCCCGCTGCTCTTCACCAAAAATGAACCGCTGATGACACTTTAGGCGGGGTCACTAGGCCTCTGCAACCCTGAAAAGAACTGGACATGCTTGCTCATCATCGAAGTGGCACGGTCCTGGTATTCAGTTGACTTAAGACCCAGGATCTAAAAAGCAAAGAAATCATGTTGCCACTGATGCCAGTTGCTCATGAATATCTTAGCATTCACTAGAAGAGGCTCTGGCCCCTGCCCACAAAGAAAAACATTCACAATGCTTTTTTAAAATAGGGTGATCCCCCGGCGTCTATCTTCATTCTTCTAGAGGGTCAAACGGGGGGTCTCCCAATTTCAGCTACACACCCACATCAATTCCGCTCAACTGGCACCAGGCAACTGAATGGAGCGCCAAGAGCATGGTGGCCGTCTGACTCCATGGAAAAGCCTGGAACGAACGTCACGGCGAGGAGATCAATCCCAGCGGTCTTGTTAACCAGACCTCTGTTATTGCTGACAATTACCTCAAGACTATTGATGAGTTGACTTTTCATGCCTTGTTGTTTTATGTTATATGTGGTTGTTCTATACTTTTGAAGCATGTACAATCTACAATACTCATGCCAGCAACAGCTCAGCAGCAGCTAAAGTAACCAGCATCTAATCTACCCAGAAAACAACTGATTTGGAAAGTCCCCTGGTGTATTCGAGAGCACTGACTTGGGGAACCCCCAGCAAGCACCAAAGAAACGAGAAATCCTAAATCCTATGATATTCCTCACACACGTTCGATTTCCACCCTAAGAATCCTTTTCCAGCACTATGCCCAGCACGCCCCGCGCAACAACATGGAAAACCCCCGGCATAGCATCACCTCACAGCCCCGGCACGAACCCCCCGCCGCCCGCTGTCGACCTGGCTCCGGAAGGGCCGTCCCTTAGGGCTCAGCTTCAACTCCAGCGCCGTCGGCTCACCTCGGCGGACGGCGACCGGACGGAGGACGGCGACCGGCGCCACGGAGGAGGGCGGGATGTGGATGAGGTTGGAGATGTTCGCCCCAACATTCTCTGGTTGGATTGGATTGGTGTCAAGAAGAGTCTCCTTCATGTTCAAATCCGGGAGTCCTGGTTGGATATCGCGCAACACTCGTTGCGGTCATCGCGCTGATTGGTGGACCAAACGGGTTCAATTTCCAAGCCACCTGTCCCCCCTTCATCAGCCAAGGCTGCTTCGGCGCTGACTCGTTTTGGGTACATGAGTTTGCGGCGTTCGATTAAAAACAACAATGCACATGGTTGCCAGGATTTTTGGAGTTGGATGTACTTGATGGGTGGCTCCCTTGACAGCTCCTAAGCAACTCCAACCTGAGTTGGAAGTGCATTCTTGCCCCCGAATTGCTGCTCTTGGGATAGATTGTGCATTCTTTCGTAAGGAAACACTTCGCTCAAGCACCAAGGTGCCAATCAGCGTCTGCAAGCCCTGCGCGTGAGCCGAGCACGCTTAGAGTTCTCAAAAGAGGGATCTAACAGAATCTAACAAGCGTCGGTCTCCTTTCTCAGGCGTTTGCTTGTTCTCCTTGAAACTTTGAGAGACGTGCAATGAAATGAGATGGAGAGCAAAGTTTGATGTCCAAAGTGTCGTGTTTGTTCATTTTTCTGTTACTTCCGGGGTTGTATAACAACTCCCCAAAGTTTGCCTACGCCATGTGTGCAAAGCAAACCCAAGTTCATTGCTTCTCTCAAGTACTAAGTAGAGATGAAGTTCCTCTCCCAGAAATGGAATCGGTTTTCCTTGAGCGGTTCTATATTGAATAATATCTGTATGCATTTGCTGGGATACAAGTAGGGCACTGTACCAGACGCACTCCCGGAGAATCGACCATTGATTTTCCGGTTCCCTATCTTCGGAAACTTCATGAAAGCTTATATACCAAACCTTTCAGGTAAATATCTCATAGAAAAAGGCAAAAGTCCCTTCTTAGTTCGCAGTACATAGCAACTGACGAATTATATAGTAGGATCAGTCAGTGGCCTCTCAAAATCATCATGTGGATTCTCTCTGTTCACCGGAAGTGTGGAAGACCCAAAGAAGAACTCAGATCCTTCTGTATTGAGAATATTCACAAAAGGCCGGTCGGTGAATCCTACTCATGCTTGGTGTTCTGTTCATAGGGCTCAGCAGCAGCAAAAGAACTTAGGGATGACACCACTGCGCAGTCCATTTTGCCCAATCCACCAAACCGCTGCCGCCCCACACGCGTGAAACCTCACCGCTGACGCACAGAAAAAGCACCGACTCACAGCACCTCCAACTCTCGTAGCTCCAGCATCCCCAAGTACACCGAGCCGGGCTCAGCGCCGCGTGCTCCGCGCTCTCGCCGCACCAGGTGAGGCTCCGGTAAGGTCCACCGGTCGCGCCACTTCACCCGGCCCTGATCGGTTCGCGCGACCCACCGACCCGAAGAAGCCAAAACCACCAGACACGTGCTGCATCTTAGAACACTTTGTTGGGGTTCGTCGGTTCGTCTACGTCTTAACTCTTTGGTGTTGAGCATCGAGGAGAAAGCGATCGAATTCCAGCACCCGAAACATAGATACGGCCTCAACAGTAGCGTTTGTGGTCGAGCAGGGGACGGCACGTAAGGATGACGGCACGAGTTTGTCCAGAAACGATACGTTGAACATGTTGCTAGTCTTCTGGCAGACTTGGAACCAACTTGCAACTCTAGAGTTACAATGTCTGTTGTCATCTTACTGGTGTATAGTTCATTGTTAAAATTCACCTGAAGTGGTGAATGGCAGGGTTTTCAGAAAACCTGGTCGTGAACCTTGACCAGTAAGAATTACAGAATGATTATCCCAAACATGGGACTGGCATAGTTTACCTATAGTTACTGTATGACATATTGGGATTTTAGGAGTCATGGGACTGGCATATAATGGGACACAGACATGGTGACCCCGACACCAACGGCAACTCCACGACTCCACGACTCGACCAGAGCGCTCCACCTCGATGTCGCTTTCTCTTCGCCTGGGAAGGAAGAGGGGTTGTCGAAGACTCCACCGTGCCCAAGAGATCTCTCAAATTCGGGTCTCAGGGTTGCGGAGTTCACCACTCTATGTTTGATCTCCAAAGTCTTGGAGTCTGCCTCATATGAGCTGGCATGGACCATTCAGAGTCTCACAATCAATAGTCAATAAATAAATAAATATATATATATATATTATATATATATAATGTGAACCTTAGAGGAAAACCAGAAAACGAGCGCCTTTAGCACCTAGCTATACCTAGCTCTGTCCTTGCAATCCTTCAAAAGTGGCGCTGTCCCATCCCAACAGCCTGAGATTGGCCACTGCGCTGCTCTCCGAACGTAAGCGCTGCAGTACAGGAGGGCCACCTGGACTGTCTAGGCCGGCTTCAAGGGTCTAGGCCTGGTCCCTGTGCTGTGCGCAGTCGGACTTTTTCGTGTCGCTCTTGTCGTCTCGATTTGGTAGGTGTCGTTTCTCGCGGGGAATGCACGAGGCGTTTCTCAACGCCTTATCACCAGAGTGTCAGAAAAAGGCAGATTCTGGAGGTGTTCAAGATCGGTGCAAGACCAATCATTGGTGACTGCGCACATCAGTTCGGACTTCTTTGGGTTTCGAGTGGAACAAATCGCTGATTTTACCTCAAGTGAAAGGTTCCTGCACCCTTCAAACTATCCGACCCCAGCCAGACATAGCCAAACCATCCAGCCAACACCTGTTCAATAGGTGCTTGATTATACAACGGCCATCAACAATGGCCCAAGTTGCCATTTATACATGCTGGGTAGCAAATCAATCAAAAAACATAAAAAATAAATCATCCTTGGGTATCCACACATGTCCTTTCCAACCCCCCCATTCAACTCTCCCGCACCTTCTGAGGATCCCTTGGGCGCCGTCAACGCACTAATGAACCGCGCCAGCCGCAGGGGGCGCGTGCCCGGGCGCGGGGCGTCGGGGTGGTGCTGCTGGGAGACCAAAAGGCTCAGCTCCGCTGTGACCTGGAAAGCACCAAGGAGGAGTCACTTGTGTCATTTTGGAAAAAAGGCGTTAAAACGGTAGGTGCGCATGCAAGTGAGAACATGATTCTGCAAATCCTTTTCCCGACTTTTCGACGCCTAATCAAGAACACACCAGAATATGTCCACGTCGAAAACATGTTGGTGCGACATCGGTGCGAAAAGTGAAACATCGGTGCATTCTGAATGCAACGAGATTGCTACGCCTGCTCCTTCCACCCCTCTCATCACCCACCCGAGCGCATGTTCAGCCTCCTCTTTTAGCGTCGCGTCGTCGGTGATGGCCAAGACCAGCAGCGTGCTCTGCAACGACTCGGGCGCTGCCAGGCGAGCCGCGGCCGTCGCCTGCGCGGGAGCGCAGCGACTAGGTGCACCGTGGCGGGGCGAGAAGCACACGAAGGGGTGAGGAAGTGGACGCAGTACAGCACGTATAAACAGGTATGAAAAGTGTAAGTGGTGCTTGTGGCTGGTGGGAAGTCGGTGGTAAAAAAGGTGCCCACTAAGTGTAGTAGACTATAGTTTGTCAGGTCCTCATGTTGGCTTCAAGCACATGCCTAAAGAACAGTGCATTGGCTCGCGGACATTTCTTGTCACTTCCATTCATTTGTTCATTCCTAATTGAGATGTTTTGAGGAAGTTGGGTTTGAGATTCAGGCAATGTCTGCTTCACTGAAAGGGTTAACACAAAAACTACTCCGAACAAATTGAGGGTACCAGGTCTCCTCTGGTGGCTTTTGCAGACTTCAAAGTAGCAGGTGGTGACCTGTTGGAGGGTGTTGGTATAGGATTTCTTGACGGAGCCTCAGGATTGATGGCTGACTACGGATGGACCTTGCAAAGATTTTACGTACATCATCAGGGGCCACTTCATCAGGTGCTCTTCAAAAGATTCAAGAGGGGACACAACCGATCCGCGAACGGTTCTTGCCCAGTCGAAGAGCCTTCAAAAGGAATGGCCACGGTAAGTATAACTGCACCGTATAACGATGAAGCCTCAAACAACCTGTTCTCAGCACGGTCATCGTCTGTACAAGCCCTCAGGCCAATCGCGGTCAAAGTGCCTGTTGCTTCGGCAGCTCTTGGTGAAACGCCACAGCCGACGAAGTGAGCCCCATGGCAGTGGCCGTTTTCAGCAACCAGCAGGACTTGAAATGCAAAATGTGTGGGCTGTAAAGTTCAAAAATGTGATCTAAGGGGGTAATCAACTATGTACAGTAAAGGAAAAAAGTGGTATCGACAGCCTATAGCTGAGTTATTTGCGTTGGATACGGATACGCAGTACTTTGTGAACCTTGGAGTGCAGATTGCTTGCAAGGCGCAGTACTTTGTGAACCTGGAAGCACAGAAGACGCAGTACTTGGTGGACCTTGATGAGCAGATTTCGTGGCAGGCGCAGTTGAAGCAAGAAAAAGGGGCAGGTTCCCTTCTACTCTAAGGCGCCAGGATGCACTAGGATGCGCCAGAAAGTCATTGCATCCAGGTGTGGCTCATCTCTCAGTTGCTTTCTTCGCCCTAGCCATACTATTATTTTTTCTGGTTTTGAAAAGTTGGTTCATCAATACCACAATGCTCCCGTCATTCGGTTTTGTAGCGTCGTTCATTATCTCAGCTGTCTCCGTACTTGCACTGTGTTGTTTTCTCTCAGATGTTTCTTTTGAAGTCAAACTCCTACATGTCAGCCTAGGGTCCCACTGCACCGAGAAAAACATCAAATGTTTGCCGATGCTCTTGACTCAAGCCTACGAAAGCGCAGCAAAATGATATCCAACTTGAGACTTCAGGTGTTGCAAGTGCCATTGAACTAACAAAGATTGATGTCCCCAACACCGAAAATAAAGCTTTTGAACTTCAAACTGCATACGTCCGTGTCATTCGTCTTGGGTACGGAGCTTACGGGGCAAAAAGTCAATGTAAACTTGGAAATGGAATAGCGATGCCCTTGTTCCTAGTAGCGTCCTTGCTCCTAGTAGCGATGCCAGGAGCCCCTAGTAGCTTCTTGCTCCGTTCGTAGCGATGCCCGGAGCACCCCTTTTCGCTCGAGCTCTGCATCGAATGCCTCACATGCGTCGCAGTGCCCATGATTCCAAGTCGATTCATATCGATTCGTGAATCCGGTGGGGCCACTGCCTCCTGCCGAAGTGGAGATGTTCGAGTGAAAGCCAAGCCAAGCAGTGAGAGACGTGCAAGCCGAACCTCGTGTTGGTCAAAGAGCTGCGATGATTGTGAAGGAGCCGAAGATCTCTCGAACGAAGACAGGAACGAGGTCTGGAACGAGCGGGAGACAACGATCGTCTCCACAGCTCGTGGCATCTCGTGGCTCTCCACATCTGGAGTGTTCACTTCAGCTTCCTGCTTAGCACGGACAGCTGAGCAGGATCGGTCCGCCACAGCTGGATCTTCGTGGATCTTGTCCGCCTCCACGCAGGCGTTCCAGGTGTTCACGGCATTCGGTCTGTGGATGGTCACAACTCCTGCAGTGGTGCTTCGAACCCGGATGCGGATGTCGCAGAGCAGTTGGAGCCTATCAAGTCCATGTGTGGAAGACCTGCATAAGATCTTCGAACGCTGTGCTGCCATGATGTCTGCATGTGTGTCATGGATGTGGGCGTTCGCAAATCCAACCATCAAATACATCAAAGGTTCGACCCCGAAACTTCGTTAAGTAATCCACCAACAGTTACAACAAAGGCACTCTAAGGCCCTTCTAAGCATATCTGAAGCACATCCTTAAGGCCCTAGTGCTTGCTGGTACGTCAAGATTCAGGATTTGGCGGACCCATGAGTCTGCCCACAACCTCTCTGACATGGATCCTCTCCCACTGATTCATTATGTTCAAGCCTACACCTACACCTGCCTGCATGGAACGCCGAAACCCGCGCCTCCAAGGCATTCAACTGCCCTTGGAGCGGAGCTCTTGTGCCTTGCAGCCAAGTGGTGAGAGCCATGCGCCGCTTTGCGCTTGTTACAAGCGACCAAGCCAGTTCAATGCCAAAAGCAAGTGTTTTGCATGTTGTGTCCTCCCAAAAAGGGAAACCGATGCAAGAATGAAACATGTGAGGAGATGAGAATGATGAGAATCTGTGATATGATGTTTGGACCCCCCCAGCTGGCCTCCTCCATGGAGCCTTTGGCCTCCAAGAGCTTTGCCAGACCAGATATCGAGTCCAGAGTCTCCTGATGTCTAACTCCTAACTGGGCCTCTTGCCCTTCCATCGCCCGGCGGAAGTGCGACTGGGCCTCCTCCAAGCGCCCTTGAGCCGCACTGAGACGGGCCAAGTGGTAGACGGAGCGGAGCGTTTCGGGATGATGGCTGCCCAGCTGGGCTTCTCGCCCTTCCACGGCTCTGTGCAAGAACACCTCTGACTCGTCGAGCTTCCTCCGATCCAGCAGGAGAACCCCCAAGTTGTTGGCGAAGGTAAGGGTGTTGGGATGACTAGCTCCAAGCTGAGCTTCGATTCCTTCCAATTGTCTGCGGAAGAGGGGCTCCGCCTCCTCAAGCTTACCCTGGCCAAACAGCAAAGCGGCCAGATTGTTGAGTGAGCTCAGCGTGTCGGGGTGCCTATCTCCAAGTTGAGCCTCCTTTCCTTCCAGTGCCTTTCGGTTTAGGGCCTCAGCCTCCTCGAACTTGCCCTGCCTCCACAGCAAACTGGCCAGATTACTGAGAGACAGGAGGGTGTCGAGGTGCCGGGCACCAAGTCGAGCCTCTCTTCCTTCCAGCGCTTTGCGATAAAGTGCTTCAGCCTCCTCATACTTGCCCTGCTGCTTCAGGACGCTCGCGAGATTGCTCAGCGCCGTCAGGGTCTGTTGGTGCTCTGCACCCCACTGCGCCTCGTCGCCCTCCAAGACGCGGCGACACAGCGCCTCGGCCTCTGCCAGGTCGCCGCGGTCTTCGAGCACCGACGCCAGCCTCGGGGACGTGGGGTGAACGACGACCCAAGAGCTGGAGAGTCCCAGATCTTGCTTTCACCTGGTAAGTCCTGATAAAGGTGTTGCTTCTGCTGTTTTAATCAAAAGGAAAATTGAAGTTCGTGTCATAACAAGCCACTTCTCTTGACATGTGCTTGCAAAAAGAAATGAACAAGTTCGTGTATGTATGAAGATATACTCGTTCCTTTTCTTGTCTTGCTTTGTTTTCTTAGAGTTTAAAGAGTGACAAAACGTAAATGCCAGGTATATGTCTCTTTAACTGGAAAAGGATAAGCTCAATTGGGATGAAAGTTGTGCACACAATCAGACAAATGAAATAGGAATACAATTGGTTTCTTGAAATATGTGATGTCTATGTTCGATTTATGTATGGTATGAGTGCATGATGCGAAAAGGCCTGAGCTGCACACCGGCTCAATGCCTGGAGGGTATATCCATCTGTAGGGCCACGTCTGGTGACTGCGGCTTCAGCACGGCAGCGAAGCCTCGACACACAGCTTCCATCAGCAGCTCTGGCTGCACAAACTCACTGAAGGTATAGTGCTAAGTACTAGATCAGCCTGCTATCGCTGCCTGTCCAAAGCATCGTGTCCAAAGTGGTGGTGTTGACAGGGTTTCGTCACGAATGGAACTGATTCGCACCCAAGACTTGCCAAGTATCGAGCGGCACATCCAAGATCTAAGAGGTATCCCGGGTGTTAAAGCCGAGGGAGTGGGACTGGTTCGGTGGACGTGCCACTCAAGAAAAAACTGTTAGCAGGTGATCTTGGTGCCAAGAGTATTCTGACGAGAATTGACGGTGATACTATGTAGACTAGACTAGACTAGACTACAAAGGCCTTCCCATCCCTGTTGTTCTCCCAAGTTCAGCAACCAAGCTTGTGACATAAGTTCCGTGCAACACAAGATGTCAAGAGGGAACAGCAGCGTTTGTCTCTTGGCCAACTTTTGCTCAAGATGGGGTAGTATATAATGCCAAATGCAGGTTTGGGCATATTGAACATGAAGAAAGTAAGGAACGAACGAAACGCCAACAGCCACTCACCACATGAGTACACACACAAAGGCACAGTCCCCCATACATGCCAACAAAAAATGTACACAGAACAGAACCTCAAAATGGAACGCTCGGGCGTTGTATTAGTGTGACACCTTTGCAGCCCAGAAGGCCAACAGTGTGGCTTCAGAATGAAGCCCAAGTTGCGTTTGGAGTCCGATGAACGTCCTCGCATTGCCCCGTTGAGTTGCATCTGATTGTGCGTTTGCCACAACTTGTTCGAGTTTCGCTGAGGGCTTTAGTTCAGGATGCGCGGGCGAAACAAGCAGTACAAACTGCCCTGTTGAGAGAGTTCTCCAAACGTTGGCAAACCGGGTATGTGTCCTGATAGTTTTGGGGATCCTGATAGCAAACAAGAGACGTCTCCACCAGCACTGCTCTGGCATTTCCAATATCGCTTTCTGCTTGTGCTCGCACAACGATACATTCACGCGGTGGCTTTCCGGCTTCATTCAGGAGCTTTCCAGCAAGGTTCCTTGGCCAAAGGATGAAATGAGTCAGCCAACTGCTCAAAGTTGAAAATAAACTGCAATAGACTTGGCGCCCGACACACCAGCAGGCTTCCCCTGTCCAGAAACAAATGGCAACGGAATCGATTAACAACATCGGGTGATCTGTAAAGTCATGTAAAGTCAACCATTGCAAACAACTCAGCCTGCTCCACCATTTCCGGTGTCGGCCGTTCCGAGACATCGTAGGCTATGGATGCATTGACAAGGATTGGAATGCAAAATTCCACCCTCGATTGGTAGTCCTTCAGGAAGAAATTTGATAGCCATGTGTCGCCGACGAGTTACGTTGCTATTCGGAATCATGCACGAGCCCTACAGCAGTAGCAGCTCAAGGAGATCTCCTGGATTGCCGCCTCACGACCTTTCAGATCGATATCCTTGGATTTGCTTAATGACTGGGAAATTTAAAAGTATTTCCGAGAGGGGGATTCATACATAATGGAAAGCAAAAATTACCCTTAGCAAATCCAGGTATCTCGCTTGAGCATATTGCGGTAGTTGTTGTCCAGCAGCGTCTCCACGCTTGGCCATTCATCAGGTGCCTTCCGTACGCTGTATACGCCTGCCAAGCGTTCGCTCGAATATCTGGAATGGCAATGGTTGCTGGAACTAACTCACATAAACCTGCAGCAAGAGTCGCCGGGTTGTTCCAGGGCCAAAACAGTCCCTTACAAAAAACCTGCACGACCTTGGAAAGCGCTACCAAAATGAACTCACCCTCCAATCTGGCTCTGGCCCTAAGATTGACATGAGACGTTTAGCCCACCAAATCAGAATTCAGCTCACTGGCACAAAGCCCGCCTTGCCTTTCCCCCACCACGCATTGGCCTTTTCACCACTTGTGACGAGAGAGGCCTGTGAATGTACAGTGCAAGTGGCTAGATGGAAGGCATCGAGTTCAAGACATTGTCACTCAACACTTCTGAGAGCAGCACGAACACTTCCACAGCGGCTTTGCTCGCGTGTGTGATGTTATGGAACCCGAGCTGTGTTGTATAGTGAAAGTAACATTCCACATCACCATCTCCCCCAGCTTGGGTGAGATCAAGAGCATCTGCCCATACCTGCACGAAGCTTTGGCAAGTGCTGCATGTGAAGGGGTGGAACACGGTTGATAAGTTGATAAAGCTCTCGACAGCAGCGCCTTGATCTTGAGGCCTTTGTGGACCCAGCACCAATCGCCCACATCAAAGTCATATTCTTCGTGATCAAAAGCCCCACCATTCTTGTAGTCCTTCTGGAAGTAATTTCGGAGATGGGCCTTGCACAATGAATGTGTATGTTACTCACAAAGGCACCAAAACAACCGAGCCGGGACACTCTGAATGTTCTTGATATCTTCTTGACGGCTGAACCAGCCCCCAAAAAAAATCGATCCAGCTGGCATTCACTTGCTTGGCTGGCTGGTTGGTTGCTTCGTTGTGGAAGTGAGAAAATGATATAGTGTTAACAGGCCAGCTAGGATCAGCTAGGCACAAATACACCCGAAGAGAAGTGGTTTTGCACATGATGCTAGAAGTTGCTCAAACAATAGGGAGAATTAGGGAGCAGTGCAGCGGAGTGAATTCATGCTAATTCTGGCTGAAGGCTCCCCATTCACCTCTGCGCTCAGCTTGTGAAAACCCATCAGCTTGACACAAACAAATGTGGATCACCAGCGCTATCCTGTGCTCACCGACTTCTTTCCAACGCCTCAGATGTTGAAGGCTTCTTCACATCACTCCCTTCTGTCACGATGGTGTCGATTTTGTGTACCTTCCCGGGCATAAACTGAAAGTTGAGAAAGGCATCTGGTGTCGCATATATGACTACTGTGCGGCCAAGCAAGGCAAACGATCAACGACAGTCCGTACACGCTTCCCTGAACCGGAATTTAGTTTGTGTATCAGGTGTCAAGAACAAGCATCAAATGTTGAGAACGGCAATTTTCTCTGAACCAGTGCTTGATGCCCTCAACTGAACCAATGTCCAACTCATCTCCATGCCTCCAATGCAGCGCTTGCCCCTGGCTGGTTCCTTTCTTGCATGCTTTCTTCAGCTTTTTGGACCTCTTGGTGCACAAAAACGCTCTGTCGGCCGACTAAATGAGCAGTCACATGTGGATCGCCGCGGTGACTTGCTGGTCAAAACACTAAACACTTCAATAACCTTGACTCCAACGTCTGAGTTTCGGAAGGCACAGGGAATAAAGAATAACGAGAGTGATTTTCGTGACTACAATTCAGATTCAGTCCTGTAGTCAGTCCTAGTCAGTCGCAACAAATCTCACCAAACGAAACGACAAACGCACCCCAAACACAGGCATAGACTAGTTCTTCTACAAGGGATAGACTTGCAAAGAACAAAAGTACTTATGGTGTGTCCACCATGGGTGAGCTCCGAAGTGATGTGCAGAGCATGAAATGCGGAACAACCGAACAACCATGAATAAAATGCTGAAGGCTTCAGGTCTCATGTCTTGTTGAGCATCACGGCCGTCCTGATGTAGGAGTTTTTGGAGAGGCGGTTCTTGGCCAAACTTAGAAACAAAAAAGAGGTTGAACAGATCCGAAGTTGCAAAAGGCATGAATCCAAAGCTCTTTGCATCCCATCCCATCATCTAGAAGTCGCAAAAGCTGGATGCTGGCGCAAACAATGAATCTCCCACTGCACCTCTGAGGTGAAGAGGATATCCAAGAAGTCTTTCACACCTCAAGACTTGCTTGGCTATACACCAGCCTTGCTACGAGAGCTCTGAGCAGTCTGATCACTATTTATTGGACAGGAACACGCACTCATGACAGCCCATGCTCCTTGTGGACTTGTGGACTCTTGCCCATCCCTGCCAAGCTGCGAAGCCATGAGTTTTGCGGGTAGTCCTGCCGATGGTGTCGATGCACACAGCGGGAAGGAAATGGAAAGCATTTCCTTGGAGACCAGCCTAGAAAAGGCGAACTGTGGCGAGCTCATGTACTCATTATGTTTCCCAGTTCTTCTCGCGGAAGTGTGAAATCTCCTGCAGAATGGCATGGGCCTCCTCCAGTGTGCTACCAATATCTTGAAGAATTTCGATGTAGCCTGAGGATGTCAGACATACGTCTTGGCCATCAGACCAGGCCAAACGTGAGTATAGCAAAACCTTTGGCGAAAGAATCAACTTTGACCCTCTCAAGTAGACCCCAGCTATACTTGGCACAAGCTCAGAGCTCCTCCCAGATCCCCACAAAACCTTCGTTCAGCCATGTCCAATCCAAGAAGCTTTGCCGCTCCAGCCATGTCCCGCCACCGCCATCGTGGCACTCGCCATGTCCCAGTTTCGCCTCGAAGATCGCTTCCACCTGCCCACGCAGCTCCTCGGTGCAGCCGCAGCTCAGGTGATCAGGTTCCGAGATGGGGGGGTTGTGATGTATTGAAAGTCTTGGAGGGCAGGAAAACACATCAAACAAAACGGGAATTTGCAATTGAAGTCCCCCTCTCTTGACTCTTAATTGTGACCAAGTGGCAGTCATGCTTTCCAGACTGCGCCCAGTACTTCTGCCTTGCAGGGCACAGTTGCTCGGCGCCAAGCCAAAACAATTCAACCAACTGAACGTGAACAGGATACGAACCAGCTGGTCCGAACCACCTGCCAAGTCTTTGAGAAGAGCCGCACATCAAATGAAGAAGGAAGAAGGCGAACAAACCCCGGACATTGGGAGGCTCACCAAGTCGCTGTTTGTCAATCGATCAATTTGAACTCCGTAGAAAACACCGGCTCGTTGCTGGGGGTATTGTGAAATGAATTGTTCAGGCTTACAAAATCATGTCCTCCAAGTGAAGAAGAAAACACAAGCATTAGACAGGTCCGTGCTGTACAAAAATTGCAGGGTCGACGGCACACAACCCTATTGATGGTGAAGCGAACAATGTTTAGAATGACTGATATCTTATGTATACTAGATGATTTACAACAATGTTCACGCCTCACGTTTGCGATATGCCATGATGCCGGATGCCGGTTTGTTGGAAGGTGAAACCGATGTCCGTCAGGAACGGAGTCATGGGGATCCTCAACCCATAAAGGCCCCAAGTCAGCCAGTGGTGCTGTCTCCACGTCAACCGATCGATCGACGGCACCAGCGGTTTCTGTGGTTACCTGAACCCTGCGAACTTGCTGAATGCGCGACCTCTCCCATGTCCTGGAATGATCCGTAAACGGGTCAAAAGTTGCAAGACGACGAGAAGTGTCCCTTTGTCGACTTTGGTATGCCATGATCATTTGGACTTGCCCCAGTTTACCCCACCATGTATATAACACTTCACATATGTTAGTCCATCTTTTGATCAAGAAATACTTAAGAACAGCATGCTGTCTGCTCAGCTCTGCGATACTGCATAGCCCCCCATGTTCATTATATAGTAATATTATATATTCCATGGGCTCTTCTCCATGCTCCCTCACCACCCTTTCTCAGAGTCTCCAGACCTTTCCGACACCGTCACCGTCCGACCGCTTCGTTTCGGTCTGGGCACCCCCACGTCACCACCGGTCCGGCAGAGACGGGTTGGATCCGCACAGAGAGAGGTCGGCGAGTCGAGTGAGAACCGGTTCCGGTGGAAGTTGCGAGACTTGGAAATAGGTGGAGGTTTGGTTATGTTCGGCTCTTTGATATGTTTTGTTTTATCTTCTTTTGGGGGGCCAACCCCCCCAGAAGACATGTGGATACTCTACTCAATATAGTTACAAGGATCATCCGACGGCTTGTGGTTGAACGCAAAACAGTCTATCTGTCACACAATGTCTGTTTGAAGGCTGACAATTATCTAGCCTAAACTGAAAACCCATAACTCCCACAAGTTCTGCTCCTGTCGGTTCAAGGCAACTGTGCACTTGCCTTCTTTCACTTGGTGAGCAGAAAGTGAATATGACTTTTGCAACGGATGATGTGTGTGGATTGCGCAGGTGTAGAATGGTGCAACTGCAAATCGAGAAGCGCTGCTGATGCTGCGGCATGCATCGCGAACCACGCACTCCTCTCCAAAACCCATCGGGGAGGGGAAGACCGGTCTTCTTGTACCCAACCGAACTTCGAGATACTTCAAGGTCGATTGGTGACACCTACACATTCCTTCCGGTCGAATAGCTGTTCCGCCTGTTCGGGACAGTAGAATGGTGACGATGTCACTGCTATCAATCCGTCCGCGGAACAACAAAAACCGTGCCATGAAGACAACTGCCTACGTAATATAGTAAGTCCAGTTCATGGGTCGGTGCAGATCTTACGGGGCATGAGGAGACACAGTCAATTGGCCTGGCTGAACTTCAAACGCTTTTCACTCGAGCTCCAGACTGAGTGGCTCTCATGACAATCTCATGTGGATCCAAGTGAGACAGGATTCGGTCGATGCATCGATGTTCGCCTCACTGATCAGCGGAATCCGGTGGCATCATGGCCTGTTCAGATCAACGAAACGATCAAACCTGGGTAACATGCTTCGTGAAAGCCATTCTGCTTGGTCGCATCATTGAGAAATTGTGGGTCACAAGAGTCACAAGAGTCTGGTCTGTGCACAAAGTCTTCAATATACAGCTCGGAACAATGCATCTCATCATGGAAACATGTCAGACGTCTACGTCCTAATTATTGAACCTTCAATTCAGTAGGCTCTTTCTCATCGGATCAAGCAGCACTTCCCTATGCCCCTCTACCTGTCTGCGCCTCAGCTGGTGGATCTTATTGACGCTTGTCTCCACGCTGAAGGTGTTCCAGGTGTTCACGGCACGCGCGTGTCTTGGGATGGTCTGAGCCGTGCAATTCCTGCAGACCCGGCCCGAACTCGGATGCAAATGTCCAAGAGCAACCGGCAATGCACTTGGGGCCTATCGAAGACAAGACATCATTTGTGGATATTTGTGGTAGGATCCTGAATGTTATGGGACGTCCACGTTTCAGAATTTCCTGCCAGGAGATGCGTGGTTTTGGGGTAAAACTGTCAAATTCTGACTTCCACACCCTGCATCAAAGTGGTGAGGCTGACAACCACCAGGCTCGCAGTGTGAAGTGGACCCACAAACTGTTGTATAATATGTCAAATAACATCCAATACCCCCAATGAGCCAAACATTTATAACCAAGAAGGCACTATACTTACGTCCCAAGCAATTCATATCTGAAGCGCCTTCTAGTGCCCCCTCTCGGCAAAGAACTAGGCTTGAGGATTCCCCCTACACAACTTCTCTTTTGTGGATCCGTTTACTTCGATTTCAAAACCTCTCCTGCATGGAATCCTGCAATAGGTCACCCCCTTCGGCGCGCCTCCAAGGCGTCCAGCTGCCGTTGGTAGAGCTCGTGTGCCTCGGAGCCCAGTGGGGAGACTTGGGACACCCAGCTGAGATCGTTGAGAGCGGAGGCTCCAAGCTTTAGAGGAACACCAAGTGGGTGGAGCCGGAAAGCACTCGGATTCACCTTGTTTCATCTTTGGACCACCCCAGCTGGCCTCCTCCATCGAGCCTTTTGCCTCCAAGAGCTTTGCCAGACCAGAGATCGAGTCCAATGTCTCCTGATGTCTAACTCCCAACTGGGCCACTTGCCCTTCCATCGCCCGGCGGAAGTGCGACTGGGCTTCCTCCAAGCGCCCTTGAGCCGCACTGAGACGGGCCAAGTGGTAGACGGAGCGGAGCGTGTGGGGATGTTGGCTGCCCAGCTGGGCTTCTCGCCCTTCCACTGCTCGGTGCAAGAACACCTCTGACTCGTCGAGTTTCCTCCGATCCAGCAGGAGAACCCCCAAGTTGTTGGCGAAGGTAAGGGTGTTGGGATGACTGGCTCCAAGCTGAGCTTCGATTCCTTCCAATTGTCTGCGGAAGAGAGGCTCGGCCTCCTCAAGCTTGCCCTGGGCAAACAACAAAGCGGCCAGATTGTTGAGTGAACTCAGCGTGTCGGGGTGCCTGGCTCCAAGCTGGGCCTCCCTTCCTTCCAGCGCCTTTCGGTAAAGGGGCTCAGCCTCCTCGAACTTGCCCTGCCTCCACAGCAAACTGGCCAGATTATTGAGAGACACCAGGGTGTCGAGGTGCCTGGCTCCAAGTTGTGCCTCCCTTCCTTCCAGAACTCTGCGCTGAAGGGGCTCCGCCTCCTTGAACTTGCCCTGCTTCTCCAGCAAAAGCGCCAAGTTGTTGGCGGAGGTGAAGGTTTCGGGGTGCCTGGCTCCAAGTCGAGCCTCTCTTCCTTCCAGCGCTCTGCGATGAAGTGGTTCAGCCTCCTCAAACTTGCCCTGATCTTCCAAAACGCCCGCGAGATTGTTCAGCGCCGTCAGGGTCTGTCGGTGCTCTGCACCCCACTGCGCCTGGTAGGCGTCCAGAATTCGCCGCCGTAGCGCCTCGGCCTCCGCCAGGTCCCCGCGCTTTCGGAGCACAAACGCCAGCCTCGGTGACGTGGGGCGCACACTCCTGACGTGGCGCTTCCCAGAAGCCATGGAGTTCGGTGGAGAAAGTTCAGGTCGAATTGAAAAATTTAAGTTCCAGTCAGAGAAGCTCTGGTCAAGATCTTGGTTTCACATGCCAAGTCCTGTAATAGTCGTTATGTATTTTCCTCAACTATGAAGTGCATGTCATAATTTCGTGTCATAATTACGTGGATTCTGGAAATATCTCGTATCAATATCATCCAATATCTATGATTTGAATAAAACTATATGATACTATATGAGTGTATGATGCGAAGAGGTCTGAGCTGCTCACCGGCTCATTGCCTGGAGGGCGTATCCATCTGTAGGGCCAAGTCGGGCGACCGCAGCTTCAGCACGGCAGCGAAGCCTCGGCTGAGCTTCCATCAGCAGCCCTGGCTCTACAAATTCACTGAAGGTAGTTACGAGATCAGCCTTCTAATTATTCTATTGCAGGCTGTCCAAAATATGGTGTCCAAATCGGAAACATTAACGAATGACAGCTTGTTTTTTCACTGGAGTTGTTTTTACAGATTTGGCGGACTGAGTCTGGCTTGCCAATGATACTGCAAGATCTGAGAGATGGGACGTGTTCAGTGGATGTGCCACTCGAAAGAACCATCAGCAGGGTGGTCGTGATGTGCCAAGAGTATTCTCAGGAGGATTGGTGATCCTTGGGATTCATAGCAAACAAGCGTCGTCTCCACCAGCACTGCTCTGGCATTTCCAATATCGCTTTCTCCTTGTGCTCGCACAACGATACATTCGCGTGGTGGCTTTCCCGCTTCGTTCAGGAGCTTTCCAGCGAGGTTCCTTGGTCAAGGCATGAAATGGGTCAGCCAATTGTTAAAAGTCAAACACAAACTGCGATAAGCTGGGTGCCCGGCACACCAGCAGGCTTCCCCTGTCCAGAATCCACTCGTAACGGAACAAATTAGCCAAATCAGGGAGATCTGCAAAGCCTTTCAAACAACCCAGCCTGCTCCAGCATTTCTGGTGTAGGTCTTTTGGAGACATCGTAGGCTATGGATGCATTGACAAGGATTGGAATGCAAAACTCCACCCTCGATTGATAGTCCTTCAGGAAGAAATTTGACAGGGTGTGTCCCCAACGATGTTCGGAAACATTCACGAAACCTACCGCAAAGCATTAAAAAGCTCTCCTGGATTGCTGCCTCACGACCTTTCAGATCGATATCTCGCTTGAGCATGTTGCGGTAGTTGTTGTCCAGGATGGTCTCCACACTTGGCCACTCGTCAGGTGCCTTCCGTACGCTGTATACGCCTGCCAAGTGTTGGCTGGAATATCTGGAATAGCAAATGATGGGCTGAAACTAAGTCAGGATAAACCTCGATCGAGAAACGTTTGGTTGTGCCAAAAAGCTTCCTTTGCAAAAACCTTGTCTAGCTCGGAAAACACAAAAAATGAAAATGAATTCACCCTCCAATTGGCTCTGGCTCCTGACACTAAGAAGTTCATCCCACTAAGGGTGACAATTCAGCTCACTGTCACAGCACGCCTTGCCTTTTCCCCACCACGCATTGGCCTTTTCACCGCTTGTGATGAGAGAAGCCTGTGGCTGTGGATACCCAAACGCAGAGCAACTGGCTGGATGAAAGGAATCGCGTTCAAACACAGCAGTTCTGAGGGCAGCACGAACACTTCCACAGCGGCTTTGCTCGCGTGTGTGATGTTCCGGAATCCGAGCTCTGTGGTATAGTGAAAGTAACATTCCACATCACCATCTCCCCCAGCTTGGGTCAGGTCAAGAGCATCTGCCCATACCTGCACGAAGGCTTTGGCAAGTGCTGCACGTGACCCAGAACCATCAAAGTGTGGAAACGCGATGCAACAGCAGCGCCTTGATCTTGAGGCCTTTGTGGACCCAGCACCAATCGCCCACATCAAAGTCATATTCTTCGTGATCAAAAGCCCCACCATTCTTGTAGTCCTTCTGGAAGTAATTTCGGAGATGGGCCTTGCACAATGAATGTGTATGTTACTCACAAAGGCACCAAAACAACCGAGCCGGGACACTCTGAATGTTCTTGATATCTTCTTGACGGCTGAACCAGCCCCCAAAAAGATTCTATCCAGCTGGCATCCACTTGCTTGGTTGGCTGGTTGCTTGCTTCGTTGTGGAAGTGCGAAAATGATATAGTGTGTGTAAACAGGCCAGCTAGGATCAGCTAGGCACAAATTCACCTGAAGAGAAGTGGTTTTGCACATGATTCTGGAAGTTGGTCAAACCATCGGGAGCAGTACGGCAGACGTCATTCATGATTCATGTTAGTTAATTCTGGTAAAGGGCTCCCCATTCACCTGTCCGCCCAGCTTGTGAAAAACCATCAGCTTGACAGGAACAATTGTGGATGCTCAAATACTTCCTCTTGCACACCAGCTCTCCTGTGCTCACTGACATACTTTCCGACGCCTCAGATGTTGAAGCCTTCTTCACATCACTCCCTTCTTTCACGCTGGTTTCGGCTTTGTGTACCTTCCCAGGCATTCACCAAAGTTGATCGAGGCATCTGCTGTCGTGATACAGATATCACTACTGTGTGGTAAGGCAAAGTAAACTATCAATGACAGTCGGTACACGCTTCCCTCAACCTAAATCAGTTTGTGTCACGAGCCACCAAATGTTGAGAATGGTAGTCTTCTCTGAATCAGTGCTTCCTCAACTGACCCTTGGCTGGTTCCCGTCTTGCATGCTTTCTTCAGTTTTTTGGACCTCTTGTTACCCAAAGACGCTCAGCTGGCCAACTGAATGGGAAGTCACATGTGTTGATCGCCACGGTGGTTTGCTGGTCTATTCAAAACACTTAAACAACGTTGACTCCGACTTGAAGTGTCGGAACGAATAATGTAGGGAATAGAGAATAGGTTCATCAATTCGGTTCCAGTCCTAGTCAGTCGCCACAAATCGTACCAAGGGAAAAAGGAAAAAAAACAAACGCACCCCGGACGCAGGCATAGACTGGCTCTTCAAGGGATGGACTTACAAACAACAAGAGAAGGAAATAAATAACGACGTGTTCATTCTCGCGTTGAAATGGTGCAGCTGATACTTAATATCAAAATGTCCACCAGCATATCTGAGCGCTGAAGTGATGTGCTAAGCATGAAATGCGCAACAAGGGCCAGCAACAGCCCTGGCGAATAACTCAAGTGCCGTGGTTTGTTAAAGACAATTACTGTAAAGATTTCCAACAATGGAGTATTTTTGAGTGGCAGTTTTTTGCCAACTTCCGGATAAGGAACAGGAAACATCCTGGTAGTACACGCATGTATCAGAATAATACTCTTACTAGTTAAAGCTAGTTGCATCTCGTTCGGTCATTTGGAAGTCGGACATCTGGATGCTGGCCCACACAATGGATGCTTTTCGGGTGAAGAAAATGAAGCTCCCACTGCACCTCTGCGGCGAAGAGGATATCCAAGAAGTCTTTCACACCTCGAGACTTGCTGGGTCACCAGCTGCCTTGCTGTGATAGCTTTGAGCTGGGGTCTGATCACTATTTGGACAGGAACTTCGATGATCCAAATACAATATACAGATCTATGTATGTTGTCAATGTCAAGATATTCCTCTTGGACTACTCCAGGTCCTGCCGACGGCTGCCAAGCTGCGAATCCGTGAGTCTTCTGGGTACTCCTGCTGATCGGTGTTTTTTGGCAAGCACGTGGTGGTCAACGTCAAGCAATGGGCCAAAGCAATTACTTGGCGACTAACAGCTTCTTTGAGTTTATACACTCAAAACTAGAGCAATTCTTCCCGCTCCACGCTTGTGACAATCTCCTGCAGATGGGCATGGGCCTCCTGCAATCTGTCACCAAGGTCTTGAAGAATTTCCATGCAGCCTTACGATGTCACATGGCGGTCCGGACAGCTGTTGGACCGGCGGTGGACTTCCAAAAATGTAAAGTCTTGAACGGCCAGGCAAAATGAAAGCTATTATAGTCACGCGAGGAGTCACCAAAACCTTGGCTCAAGAATTGATCGGGCGGCGACTCCCTCAAAACGACCGGTTGCTCCTTTGATCCCTGTACTTGGCTCAGAAATCCTCCCGAAATCCCCAGAGAAAACAGACATCCGATCCCAGGAGCCTTGCCGCTCCAGCCATGTCTCGCCATCGCCATCGTGGCACTCGCCATGTCGGCAGCTCGCCTCGAAGATCGCTTCCACCTGCCCGCGCAGCTCCTGGGCACGTCACGGGGATCGGCACGGGGATCGGCACGGAGGATTTGGAGGCTTTGCAGAAGCTTTTGGAAAATGTGTGGGTGTCAATAGGACCTTCGCCTGAGTCTTACTTGTGACCAAGTAGCAGCCATGCTTTCCAGACTGCGCCCAGCAATTCTGCCTTGCAGGGCAAAGTTGCTCAGCACCAAGCCAACCAACTGAACATGAACAGGTACTAATTAGTTGTACTATAACTATAACTATAGCTGGCACAAACCAGCTGATCCGAACTACCTCCCAAGCTTTTGTGGAAGTATCCCCCTGATGCATGAACATCTGTGGGGTGAAGAGCCGCAAGGCCGAAGAAGGTGCACATCAGACCCCGGACATTGGGAGTCTGATTCAGACTAAGTCTCTGCTCATCAATAGATCTATGCAATTTGAACCCCTTCGAAACCGGATGCAATGGGTCTGTTGGAGGGTGAAAACCGATGTGTGTCTTTGGGAACGGAGTCGTGGGGATCCTCAACCAGTCCAAGGCCCCAAATCAAACAGCCTCAACTGATCGATGGACAGCACCAGCGGCTTCTGTGACATAAGAAAGGTAATCAGGTGAGGAGAAAAAAACCTTGTGATGCCATTGTTGGCCAGAGAAATATGGCAGCACATCTGTGTTTCCCCAAGTCCCTGGTTCCACAAGATGCGTCACACCTCCAGACGCTCCAGCCAAGCCTGGGCGAGATGAACTAGACTTTCAGCCGCTGTTCCAAAAGCGAAACCATCTGCTCTACAGCCAAGCTGATCGAAAGAAATATGTGTACAAAAGAACAAAGGGCCTAGAAAATCAAGGGCACCACACTTTGGAAGAAAACAAGAGCCGCAGCCGCCCAAGGTCTTCTTTGGCCAAGCCCGTGGCCAGGCCCGCGGGCCAGTGCATCGGCCGCCCCAGCGGCCTCGAAAACACATATGCTGGGCACTTCAAACGTCCATTTGGCCATTTGGCCAACAGTCTCTGACTTTGAACAAACAAACACCCTGAAACAAATCCATCCCTCAGTGCTCATCTGCCACCTTTTGAATCAGTATCCATCCCACGTCATCATCGTCTCATCATCCCCATCCTCATCCGCATCGTCCAGCCGCACCTCAGTAAGCCCAGTGAAGTCGGTGGCCTCCTGGGCTTGTGCCGCCTGCGCCGAGCTCCCACTGCCCATGACCTGAACGCTTGGGACACTTGGGCAGCATGGCCAAATGTTCCCGAGAAAAATCGGTTGATGCTTGTTTTCAATTACATTGTTTGAAGAAAGAACATTCAACAAAGGCAGGAAAACAGCACTCATGTTCTTCAGGATGGTGAAAATACTGCATTGACCCCTTTCTCAGCTACAATGAATCTCATGAGGATGAAACCAATAAATTCTCAGTTGCACTTTCCATAGGAGGTCAGTATGCTTCGTCTGTGCATCACATCATTGAGGGCCAGGTAGTGGCATTACGCCAGCTGCTCCAATATCGTGTCCCTTTGTCAGTCATGATCATTTGGACTTGCCATGACTTGCCCTAGTTGTATATAACACTACAGGTCAGTCCATCTTTACAACGGTGGACAGCCCTGTTGTGGATTCCCGTAACTTGAAGACCCAGCTCTAAAATACACCCTGGAAACACGGTACAAACATGCGTGAAAGAATACAGGTCCGACAAATCCCACTCAGCAGACTTGGGTCAACTAGCATGCTCAAGAAATACTTAAGAACCGGCTAGCATGAGGTCCTCAGCTCACGAAACCACTATGTTTCATTGGTTTCGATATAGGCCCCATGTTGATATTCACATTCACATGGACCTATATATGGGCCGGGCTCTTCTCCAATCTCTTTTCACTCACCCCGCAGCCGTCTCCGGACGTCTCCGGCCTCGGTGCCAACCGGGCGCCCCCACCGGTCCACCGGTCCCACCGTCGAGTGGGATCCGCTCCGAGAGGGACTGATATGAAGGGCCCGGTGGAGGTTGTTTTGCTTTTTGTCTCGATATGGGTTTTTAATCTTCTTTTGGAGGGCCCACTTTCTCGGGAAGGAGCAGCACATTTGGAGGTACTCCACTCAATATAGTTAGTACAGGGATCATCGGATGGCTTCTGGTCCATGAACGCAAAACAGTCTGTTTGTCACAGAATGTCTGTTTGAAGGCTGATACTAAACTGAAAACTCATAGCTCTTGAATGAAGCAAGAACTCATGAAACATCCGCTTCTTCCCAAAATCCTGGGTGAAGACTTCAGTGCTGGGAGCAAAATGGATTGGTGATGTGGTCTACAAAGCTGAAAACGAGATGTGTCCATGGAAAACCGGGGAGTACAAGGTTCCAAGAAATGCTGTTTCTGTGTTGGTTCGAAAGCTTTGAGTTGTACAGTACGTACATATCTCAATCTGCAAAAGAAAGATTCTGGTGTCTTCACAGACATGGAAGCGACATCGATGCACACTTCCACAAGTTCTGCTACTACAGGTTTAAGGCAACTGTGCACATGCCTTGTTTTAACTTGGTGAGTTAGTACCCGAAGAAACGGAATATGACTAATGCAACGGATGAAATGGATGATG